CCTCGTTAAAAGTGCACTAATATTAATCAAATAACATGCTGAAGAGGTTGGAAGCATTAGAGCAAAACAGTAAGAGACCTTATGATGAGCATTAGAGCATTCATTGTGAATGATGGCTCAGGATTCAAGCTACAAAGTAACGGTAACTGTAAGCATATTAAAGAAAATAACTAAGGCATCATTCAAACAATTAACCCCAAGGAAAACAACTCTCTCATCCAACTAGAAACATACATGAAAAACCCTTTTCTGTGTTCCAGATGAGCTTGAATCCAGTTCAATAGTTTTAATATGCTTACAGTTAAATTAAAATCAGTGCAATTGGTTCAATAGTTGAAACAAAACATATTCATAATTAAAATCAAAGTTTCACTTTCTTAGTTCAATAGTTTTAAAGATCTCCTAAATTTGCATCATCAAATCTATCTATATAAGTTGAGTCTCCAGGTCTTGCTTCATCAAAATGTTCAAACTCAAATGCATCCGATTGATCAAGCCCGGTTATGTCACCGACATCTCCTTCTTTCTCTAAACCACCTTCACCAACCATTGGTATTGCATCCTCTTTGTATATCTCATTTTCCAAATCTTGTAAGTCAATTTCTGGAGTTGCTTCTTCTTCAAGTATCCAAAAATCAACCATTTCAACACAAGTGTAATCCAGCGGATCATAATGTCTTTTTTTAAGTTGAAACCTAAAAAATGAATAAATAATTTTATGTTAAGATTATACATACTACTTAACTTGACACTTATAATTAAATTTAATGTTAGATCATACATATTCTTTAAATTCAAATTATATCGAACATATACAAGATCGTTGAGTCGTTGATGCTCCAAATAATTCCGTCTCTTTGAGTGGATCTGTTCAAAAACACTCCAGTTTCTCTCGCATCCCGATGAAGATGATGTTTGACTGAGAATTCTTATAGCAACTTTCTGCAAGTTTGGAGCACTTGATCCAAACATCTTCCACCACTCATCTACATAATATCAAGTTTGAGAGTTTAGTGAATCAGCATATTTATATAAATATATACACATGTTCAAAGTAAAAAGGAGAATAACATGGTTGCATTTCTTTCGCCATTGTCAGTGCAATTGGTTTTCCAAAGCTTTCTAAGCCATCACGAAATAACCTGACTTCATTCATTGCAATGGTGGGCTTAGAGCAAATGTCTTTATTTCCAACTAATTCAACTAAACCTTGTAAAATTCCTGGCTTTTGACAATAGTTCTCTCTATCATACTGAAAATGAGGATTGAGATAATATGCTGCTGCATAGATGCCTTGTCTTAATTGAGTATCTCATCTTCTTTTTATTATAGTAGTAAAAGGCTTATATGATCTCTTTACATTTCTAAACATAGTTTTAATTGCCTTTCTTGCTCTATACATGTCATCATACAGATATCCAAGAGATGGTTTTTCATCCGAGTCAACAATATGCAACAATCTAATCAAAGGGTCTGATATCTTTGAAATAATGAGACAGCTATCCCAAAACTTAAAGTCTAAAATAATTGAAACTACCTCCTTTCCCTTGGAAGTTTTGGATATCTTTGAATCCACAAAGAACTTGCTTGTGATTAGTGCTTGTAGGTCATGATGATGCTCATGCACACTTTTCAAAGTTATAAATGTTGTTGCAAAACGGGTTGCTCCAAGTCATGATGATGCTCATGCAGACCGGATTTGCAAACGTAATTTCCTAAAATAAAGCCTGAATGGCTGAAACAGGGAAACATGAAACTCACTCCACCTGTATTATGTTATTTGAATCCTTGCTAGATTGTGTTTGCTGCTCCACAAATCTCATGCATTTGCTGATGTAGAGAACAGTAAAGACTAAAGAGTAAATGTCGGCCTACTACCGAATGTAATAAGAAGCCGAGAAGGAGAAGAAATGTCGGCCTACTACCGAATGCAAGAAGAAGCCAAGAAGGAGAAGCATGTGAAGAACTCACAGTGGTTGGAGAAGATAGCTTCGAGCCTTCGATTCCTGGTCGGCTTTGAGAAAGAAACGAGTCGTCGTCGAGAGGGATTCGGCGATTCGCGGAAGGGGAACGGACGGGAAGAGAAGCCGAACGAAAGTGAACAGTAGGGTTTTTTTGTTTTGTTTTCATATCAGTTTGAACTCAATCGGCTTGATCAAATCCAACGGTGGAAAAACCTGTTTGCCGAACCGTCCGGTTATCCATAACCGGGCCCAGTTCGCTGGTTCAACGGTTGAACCGGCGGTTCGCACGATTCAACTCCGGTTCGACGCAAAACCGATCTTGAAGCAAACCGTAACCGGCCGGCCGGCCGGTTCGCGGTTCAACCGGTTGAACCAGCTGGTCCAGTCCGATTTTAAAAGCCTTGCCTTCACAGGCCAACAAGTTTTAAAAATATTCAAAAAAGTTATAATTTAAAAAAAAACAAAATAGTCAAAATAAAAAAAGTACGAGCAATGTAAAATTAATTTAGTTTTTAAAAAAAAAAATAAGTTGTTTTAAAGCTTTTTAAGGAAAACATAATTGAAAGTTGAAACTTACATTTTCTTTGAAAATCATAAATATGATTTAAAAATAAATAAAATATAAAAAATTAATACTTTACTGGCATGTCGTTCCATTCAACAAGCAACTTGTTACAATACTTTTAATATTTTTTAATGCCATTTGCATCTGGACTAATAAGTCTTCCGTTAAATTGGCGATTATACATATTTTTTATTTTTTTTAAGATAATTAATTACATTATTAATTTTTTTCTTTTTTTTAAACGGGTTGATCCACTTGAACTCTGCTTCTCGTGAGAGGGGCGAATGCCCGCACATTATTAAATTTTTAATCATTACTATTTTAAAAAAGGGATTTACATACATACTATTTTATTTCATGTTATTTACATATCTAATACTTAAAACTTTAATATTATATTCATATCACTTATATATATAATTTTAATATCAAATACATGACTTATATATTTCATTCTTACAATCCATACTGATACATCATTAAAAAATTATCTAGATCGGGCACGAATCTCGATGCAGAATCAAGTTGAAAACTTCAAAAATTAATTTGGAGACCATCTGAACTCCGATTTCAACAAACTTACAGTCGAACTGAGCGTCTCGGAAATACGAATCCAACGACACCAAATTCAACTCAATCCGAGCCCAAATGAGCCCAAATTAAGGACCCGAAGCGCTGATGGGAGCTTCATAATACTGTTTGGGTTACTAAACGGTCTTCGAATTTTACGAGCTTATACTCGAATCGAACGGCTCGACGAGAGGAATCCAACGAGCCCAAGATCACATAATTCCAACATCTCTAAGACCTTCAAATGTCCAACGTACAGTGCATGATCGTAGGATTCGATATCGGCCATCCATTCAACCACTCCCTATTCGCCCCTGGTCTCACGCCTATTTACGACATATGCCACTCCAGAAAATATATAAATAGAGCCCTCATTTTTCCCGAAGGGGGTCGAAGCAAGAAGAAAAGAGGGGAAGAGAAGGAAGAGGTGAAGGAAGAAGCTCCTCCTCGACCACCGCCGGAACCTTGCCGGACCACCGTAGGAGCCTCGCCGGACCACCACATGAGATCCTCACCCTAGCCGGACCACCGCCGGAACTTTGCCGGACCACCGCCGGAGCCTCGCCGGACCACCGCCAGAGCTTCGCCACACCACCACCTCAAGGCCCGACGTTCTGGCCCGGCGTCTACTGAAGGCCCGACGCTCTGCTCAAGGCCCGACATTCTGGCTCGAAATTCTGGCCCGACGTTCTGCTGAAGGCCCGATGCTCTGCTCAAGGCCCGACATTCTCCTCAAGACCTGACATTCTGCTGAAGGCCCGACACTCTGCTCAAGGCCCGACATTCTGCCGAAGGCCCGACGTTCTGCTCAAGGCCCGAAGTTCCGTTCAAGGCCAGACTACCAACTAACACTCGAACTTTCAGGTGACGCCGGGTCTAACACCAGACTCCTATCGAACAGTTACTAGTTGTAATCTGATCGCCCTTGGAGGCGATTCAGCCCTTTGTAACCGACTTAAATTCTAGTGGAATCATTTTCAACTGGGCTAGGTCCCGTGGTTTTTCCCCCTTTTTAGGGGTTTTACACGTAAAAACTCTGGTGTCTCTTATGAATGTTACACTCTCTCACTAATCTGATTGTGTGCTGGATCTTCGTACAATGCTATGACATTAAACTATATATTTCTCTACCGCCGCGAATATTCCATGACGCACACATACCAACCTATAAACTTTAATATTTTATTTCATTCATCCATATTTGTTCTATTAGTGATAAATATATAATATTAAAATTTTAAATATTAGATATGTAAATAACATGAAATAAAATATTATGTATGTAAATACCCCTTTAAAAAATTGCCCATTCAAATTCGACCAACTCTGCCTCTAACGACAACTTCTGCCGCTTCTCTACAGAACGTCGCATATTCTCACAACCACTTTTGTATAATTTATATCACTATTAATAAAAAAAACAATCGCTGTAATTCTAATAGATATCTAAATAAAATATGAAAAATGATTAAAAGCAAAAGAACAAATATTATTATCAAACAAAAAATTAATTAAGCTTTTATTGGGAACCATATTAAATATTAATACACAGAAGGTATTAAAACATATTTAAAAAAATAAATTTATTTTCAATTATTATGCACGTGAAATTTAAATAATTATTGCAAACATATTGTCTTGCGCTGAATTTTTAAGTATTTAAAATTGTTCATAAATAGTAAAATTACTTCGATTTAATAATTGAGCTGGAAACTGACGCTGGATAATTTTTTTGACGTGGAGCACATCGGCAACACGATTCCTATGCAAAATTGCAAGGACAAATATCGAATTAGTACGTTTTACGGGTCCGATGACGCAAAAAATGACCCTGAGATCGAAAGGCCTTTGTTTGTATCCGTCGACGTTTTGCCTTTTAGCGGAGTCGAAGTGATAATCTCTTAACCCTCAAATTTCTAATCTTCTCTCCAATTATACGCACCGTCTTCGTCTCCGATCCTTTCTTCGCTGCAAAGAAAAAAATGAAGAAAATTCGCCTTAATATCTAACGTCTTCTTGTATATATACAGAGAGACAAAACCGTCGCGGCCAGTGGCCGGCGTTTCTCTTCACCCCCGCCTTCCTTTCTCTCTTGGTCGCATTTTGCTCTGTTCATGTCCTTCTCCGCGGAAATGGAGGAGGATAGCGTTTGCCGTCGGAAGCCCTAATTTCTTTTTCCGACATGACGATCGTGACAGGCGATAGGTACCTCGAGTACCTCGTGAAATTCGCGGAGCAGAACGCGGGGGCGCTGCTTGAAGGTTCGCTGACTTTGAAGCTTAATCCCGTGGGGCTCCACTATGTGCAGTCGCGGCTGGAAGCGTTGCAGGAGCTTGAAGGACTTATTGCCGATGCGCCGGTGGATTATCTCCGCGCGTATGTTTCGGACCTAGGCGACCATCGTGCGCTCGAGCAGCTGCGCAGGATATTGGGCCTGCTCACGTCCCTCAAGGTGATATCCGTACATCCACAGCAGGCGCGCGATCCGACGCCGCTTTCGCTTCAGGCTTTTGGTTGCCTCAGGGTTCTCGAGCTCCGCGGATGTGATATATCGACGTCGTCTGCACGGGGGCTGCTGGAGCTCCGGCACTCGCTTGAGAAGCTTATTTGCCATAATTCTACTGTATGTTATAATGGAGCGTTTCTTCGTCTTTGAACTTTTTTGTTTGTTCAGTTGGGAAATTGTGTTATGTTGAGTTCTATGTTCTGATTCTTTTATCTACTTTTGCTGAAATCAGGATGCTCTGAGGCATGTTTTCACAAATAGGATTGCGGATATAAAGGACTCGCCGGTGTGGAGTAGGCTAACTTTCGTTTCATGTGCTCACAATAGCTTGGTTCTAATGGACGAGTCTCTGCAACTGCTTCCTTCTGTGGAAACTTTGGATCTGAGCAGGAATCAGTTTGCGAAAGTTGATAATCTTGGCAAGAGCTCAAAATTGCGGCACCTGGATCTAGGATTCAACCACCTGCGGACTATCGCGTCTTTGAGTCAAGTAAATATTTCTTGCTGGTTCACTGCATGATCAATAATAGTAGTAATAAACTCTTCGGAGTTGTGTGCTTATATGTTTCTCTCATGCGATACTGTTCTGTTTTCTACATTTCTTTGCCAAGTAAGACTTGATTGGAAATTGGTCGTTGGAGTTTGATAATTTTTTTTGAATTTCATGTATGTTTTTCATGTGTGGCATGTAGTGTAGCTTTGGCCTTCTTAGTTATGTTTCTATTGAGTTTAAATAGGGGCGGCTTATAATATGCCATTGCTTCATTTCTTTCCTATGATTGTTATACTATTTCTAGGCGAGCAACAAATTTTCCACTCGTTCAATTCAAGTTTAAGGTATTATTGTGCAAAGGAAAGCGGGACCTTTTCGTGCTTATATTTCTGCAAATAATAACATTGGTATGTAGCATTAATATCATAATGTTGGAAAAACGCTTTTAATGAGATCATATGATTGATCAATAGTAGAGAAATTATTAAAGCTTAATGTGGCAAGGATCTACAATTTGTTGAACTTCAAATAGAACTATATTTATGGAACCAATTACATTATTAACAGAGGAACTAATTTGTAAATGCAAGATTGACCTCTTTTTTTTTTGTGGTAATCAATTTTATTATATGAGGGGAACTTATCTTAGTACAAAACGATCCAATTAAGTGAACTAATGTTCCATAGAAAGGAAAAGTGAGCTTTGTTAGTGTTCTCACAGCAAAGTGGACTTCACTTGGCTACCACAAACCATTTTTTTCCGAGTATTTTTGCAAAGTACATGCATCATGCATCACTTCATTTTAGTACACTAGCTCTTTGGTGCAAGGTTTAAAATTGCGCAATTGGGTATTGAGATGTTTTTTCGTTTATAAGACAAGTCGTAAGCCTCAAGGTGTTTTAAGGTGTAAACCTTAAAATCCAAAAATTGTGTAAAGTGAAAATAAAGGTTAAAAGTTTTTTTATATAAAACCCAAATAATATATTAAAGGATGATATATTAACTTTCTGTTGAATCATGAAGTAAACAAATTGACATACATATGAAACAGAAAAATACACAAGATATAAAGTGACAAGTGATAAGTTGCATGAAATAGGATTAAAATCCAAATATTACAAGAAGAAAACAACATAAAATATATGCATAACATAAAGGTATCATATAACATCAAGTTCAACATCAAATTTCTTCTTTCATAGTTCCTCACTCATCTACATTTAATTCCTAAAGAAAGCTGAAATAGTTGGTACCAACTCAAAAATCATATGCACTATCATTATTGAGGCGGTGTCTTTATTTGAGTCATCATCATAATAAATTAGTCTCTCCCTTGCTTCATCTTGTAGAGTTCAATTCATCTCAATATGTTTCTTCATTTATTTCAGTCATCTTCCTCTTTCATAAATATTTATCATCAACATGAAGATGAGAGTAGTTCTCCAAAATTTTTAGAGTTGGTGGTGGTGTGCGGCTTTCAAGTGATCCTTGTGGCGATTACAAGGTGCTGGTTGTGGCGAAGGCGGTAGACTGAGGTCGAGTTAGTCCAAAGAAAGGTACTGCGTGAAGACGTGATTTCTTTGGGGTTTTATTTTAAGATTTAGGTAAGTTTGAATAAAAATATATAAATAGGGTGAGGCATATGTCTCACACCAACCAAGTGAGGCGCGCCTCAAGATGGTTCACAGCCAAGTAGAGGTGCCAGCCTCATACAAAAAGTTTGAGTCATTTTTTCATTGGAATTACGCTGAGGCGGGCCTTAAGGTGAGCATATTATTGCATAATTTTAAGCAATGCTTTGGTTCGGTTTTTATATCACTAGTGATTTGTGAACCGTGATTTCATTGTTATGATTTCCTAGTGAGATTTTTCAAATTGTGTTTATTACCAATGGTCCAAGATGATTATAGATGAACAAGGTTCGAGGAAAAAGAAGTTTATGAATATTTATGTTATAGGGTACTTTAAAAGGTAGAGAGATCACAGAGATAGAGAATCTCATGCGGAGGTAAAGGAAAGGATAGGGAAATTTCTATTAGTAATCATTCATTGTTACTCATTGTAGACTTATTTGTTGGCATTACATTGGACTAAATGAGAACTAAACAACTAGTTATAATGAACCATCTAATAAAGTAAAAACCAAAATTCGAAGGCATTATTTGGCTAGATAAAATTGTAAAGAAGAAAGAGATCCTTATGAAAATTGAAGTAGATATTGAATATCATATTAGCATTAGACATGGCATGTTTTATTGTTGATGAGGTTGTGGTCCCTATATGATGGTGTTTTCAGTTGCTTTGTTTTCAAAAACCTAACATATGAAAATTTTGATATTTCTAACAAAGTAACAATGCTCGAGGAAAGTGTCATTATGAAACTCACACATTCTCCATAGCTTCATTACTATAAGTAGCACACTTTTAGATCAGCTTGTTTCTCTCTTTGAGATTTTTTATTTTATTTTATAATAACAATATGGCGTAACATTACCAAAAACAACCTTAATCATTAGAATTGTAATATAAAATAACATGCTACAAGATTTTTCGACTCAAGTATTTGATAAAATATTTCCATTTCAATGATCCTATTAAAAAGAAAATAACTAAAACCCAACCCGACCGGGACGGATCCCGCTCGCATCGGGTCGCGCGGAACTTTTTAAAATCCAGGATCTAACTTTGGAATTTGCTTCAGACTTTCTTCCAAGTATTAAACATACAAAAACACAGAGCTACTATAAACATCCAAATGCAGAATGATTCATCTATCTTTTCTTTCGTCAAAACAATCATATACAGATACAGTACATGGCTACAGACAGAAAGAACAGAACATAAACATAAAATCCATGACTGCACAAAAATCAAAAGTATCAAATACCTAATCTCAGATCAGACTCTGAACTGCTAATCCAAGACCTCCTTCCCTTTCCCAGAACCTGAAAACCACGCAGAAAACAAGGATGAGCTAACAGCTCAGCAAGACATCACTCACCAATCAAAATAATCAGAAACTCACATCAGAAAACATATCAGAAAAGTCTCCGTACAGAATTCGAATCCAAAATATCCGGTAAAAATCTTCCAGAAAATACTCAAAACGTGCACAATTATCATCTCAAAAACATACCAAAAGTTACACGGTAAAACCTTTGTCAGAAGAAAATAATACCAGAAATTCGCTAACGGAAACAAAATTCGAAACAGAAAACGCGTCAAAAATCTCATTTCTGAAAATTGAGAAAGGAGGAATGTGCCTTACTTCGAGTCGGTCAACTTTCTCAACTACGGCGACGGACGAAAACGAGTCGAAGTCGCCCAAAAATCCATTTTTTTCCTCTTTTCCTTCGGCTTTCTCTCTCCTGGGCTTTCTCTCTCTTCAAAAACGACATTATTCGGATATTTATCAAGCAGGTTCGTCCCGGACGATGTCCCGATCGTCCCGGGACGATCTTCTCTGGATCAAATCGTCCAGACGAAAATTAAATTCCAAATTTTCGTCCCTGGACGAAACTCTCTGTCTCGGTTCGTACCGACGGTTCGTCCCGACCCTTCCAGGTTCGTACAGACGAAAATGACAGATGTCTTCACAATTTCTTCAGTTCGTACTGACGGTTCATCCCGTACTAACCACGTTCGTACAGACGAAAAACAGCACAAAATTTTTTTTTTCAAGGGTTTCACAATGATGACCCGCAGTGTAACTCTAATTTTCTTAGAAATTATTTTGCCACTACTCAACTATTTCTAATATTAGTCATTGCACTATCAAACATATCTTAATAACTTTAATTACTTTTAACATGCCTTTTTTCTATTTAAGTGTTTATTTGATAATTCTCATAATACTCGGTTAAATATCCTTTCAAATTCATCAAAACAAATAATATCCTTTCACTATTTGTAATATTTCAATTTGTAATATTTCTTTATTGATATTTTAGCATAGAATCATCTTAGCTAACATTTAAATAAACTCGCATTCCTCACACATCAAATTAGGATGCATTTGGCTGCTCCAAACCACGTGTGCAAAGCACATATATTGTGAATCACTTTATTTTAGTGCACTCCTTGGCTCTTTGTTGCGCTTATAGTAACACTCAGATTTATGATATATCAATGTTATGATTTCCCAGTGAGTTTGTTTGAGTCATATATGATTGTAGATGAAAGACATAGGAGGAAAAAGAATTTCATGAATATGGATTCTATAGAGGAAAAAAGAATTTACAATGAAGATGAGAGAGATCCTAAAGATCAATATAGAATCCCATATGGAGAGAGAGGCAATTGTGGGGAAATTTTAATTAATAATTATTCTTTAATAGTGTAGACCTTATTAATTGTTTTACGAGGATTTAAATCAGCACTAGTTATAATGTCTCATCTAATAAAGAAAAAGCCAAAGCTAGAAGGATTTTTTGGCTACATAAAATTATAAAGAAGCCTAGTGAAAGATTAAAGTGGATATCAAATATAGTATGACCATGGGACTTGCTGTTTTCTATTGTGGATTAGGGTGAGGCCTCATTTGGTTATGCTTATGCTTTCTAACTATTTTATTTTTCAAAAAACTGACATAGTACTAAATTGATTTGTATTAGAAACCTCAAAGGAAAAAAAAATATTTGATAAATGCAGTAATGCACCTCACCCATTGCTTCATGATTTGGTGTAGCACACCTGTTGAGTAACTTGTTTCTCTCTTTGAGATCAATGATAATTTTATTTGCAACAAACAACCGAGCATGATATTATCAAAAGAGATCTCACTCATAAGAAATGCCATCTAATATCTTGATACAAGTATTTTCATTATCAATAGCCTTATAAATTTAAAAAAAAAAAATTAAAGGTTAATCCTCAATGTAGCCCTTTTGTTGGTAATTATTTGGCCACTCCATAGATATTTCTAATATAAGTTACCACACCATGAATTTTATCCTTATAACTTTAATGCACTTTTAACACACTCCCTTTCTCCTTCAGTTTTTATTAGATACTTCTCATGGTACTCAACTAAATGTATTTTCAAGTTTAAAAAAAAATCATATAATTGTACTTGTATCGATTGCAATGTTTTTTTATCAATAATTGCTTTAGCACAAAATCAACTTCCAAGTAACTTTTATGGCCTAAAAATAAATTGCTTCTTTGAGTTCAATATGATTTTTCTCTTACTTGATCCATTTTTCTTTCTTGTTGCTTCATTGAATGACTCATAAAGTTATGTTTCTTTTAGTCATCACATTTATGGAAATCTCCTTTATTCTTAGAAATAGGTGCCAAAATGTTTTTTTCTTCAATCATTTAGCCTTTCTAGTTCTTTAAGATTTCCTTAAAAAAAATTGCTAAACATACTACTCTAATAAAACATATTTTATGCAAATCTCAATAGTATCACATTCGGACTCATACTTAACATTTATACATTTTCTTCAAAGCTAAGCCAAATTCAACATTTTATTAACTCTATTACATTTTTATTGTTTATTTGCTTGTTCATAGCTTTTAATAAAAAAATATATTGAAAATCTTTTTTAGAAAGGATATTTTTATATTTCCTTGATGCCATCATCTTCAAACAATATCACGTGTCATTTATTTTTACTAAATATAACTTAATCAAGCTCTTTAGGTTTGCTCTTTCTTATTTAGATTATTGCAAATATCTCCATCTCTCCTTCTGGAATCAATACTCGACTATAGTAATCATAAAAAATTATAATTTTTGGCATTACTTAATACTCTTGTTGTTATACTTCAGTTTCCTTCAAATAATGTGTTAATTGTACTTATATAGTTATATTTTGCAGTTTTTAGGTAAAGTTCTTTTTTTCAATATTTTTTAATCTCCTTTTTTCTCCATCAATTCTCCTTTATATGATTTGTTTATAGACTCTTTTAGAATATCTTTAGCAATCATTATTGGCAGCATTATTCCACTTTTATCTTTTGTTCAATTGAAAATTTCATTTAGCTCATTTGACAACTTGTCTTTGGAAATTGACGATCTATTTTTAGTCTCTGAAAACGACTTGGAATGAGTACCAACTAGGAAAAGACATAAAAAAGAAGCATTCCTCAACAAAACAAAATAAAGAGTGGAACATAGACCAAGCTAAAACTTCTCATGCATGCAATGAACACCTTAACGAGATTCGTCCCCACCAACATCCTTCTTCTGCTTTCTTGGTTGATCAGTAATTGGCCCAAAGCATTGAAGTTCCTTAGCAAATCGAGTCATAGAGACTATCTTTTCTTGGGCTAGAGCGCCTTGGATGCAAGAGGAAAGCCTCAGTGGAGACTTGGATGAAATGTTGGAGAGATCACCATCCTTAAATGAAACAACTTGCTTGGCCGGTTCACTAACTTCCCCACTTGTGACTTGCAAGGAAGGGAGAGTAGCCTTCTATCCACCAATACCAACATTGGAATTCTTCTTTTTTTGTCTCCCAGATTTTCTAAAAGTAACTAGACTCCAAGGCTTATAGCTTTCAAGATTTTTCCCTTTGTTCACACCTTGCATGATTGTAGAAAGAGTGCTCAATTTTCAAATAGGTGGATGGAGGGCTAACTGGATCGTGGAAGAAGAATTTGGGTCAATATTCACCATAGGAGGGCAGCTATTAGAGATTATAGGGTCACTAGAAATGGGGTGCTATTGTCCTTGCGCAAAATAGATTTTTCACGCAATTCAACAAATCTTCTTTGAGGTTGTTGTGAGGGATACTTGGAGGCTTGAGAAACATTGGGACAATGACTTGTGTTATGCCCAACAAAGCCACAATGGAAGCAAAGATGAGCGATCACCTCATATTCTGCTCTTTGGAAGAACTTGCCATGAAGCCCAGAGATCCAAACTCCTGGTGGAAACTTGACACCATGATCCATGCTCATGCAAGCACGAGCAAAAGCATTTCTCCCCCAAGAATTTGTTTGAGCATCAACCCATAGAGGTTGTCCAAAGAAAAAAGCTATTCAAGCAAGGTTGTTGTTTTGAATCCAAACAGGAGAACATAGGTCCACCATTGATTGGGGAAATGAGTGGCGAACATGAAGAGTCTTTCTTTCAAAGTATACACCTATATTGGTGTGTGTTTAGCAAAATAATTGAACTAACTAAGTATATTGGTGTATGTACTATAGATTGCGCTCATAGTTTGATCACAAATATTACTTTGATGAGACTCTAAGCTAATTGAAGTCATAATCCAGCCATTTTTGTGAAACCAAAGTCGTAACCTGCCACATAGAAATGAAAATAAAATATTAGATGAATGGAGTATTGAGTGCGAGCAATTGATTTGGCGTTGTTGATAGGAAATAAGAAATTTATTTCAATAAATACTAACCATATAGGAAGATTGCATTGAAAAAAAAAGGGAAGAGATTGTAGATTCCTAGAAGATTAGAACTAATGGTCAATTTCAACAAAATCAGTTTAGCAAATTCACCTGACAATTAATTGGAACATCCATGACTAAAGCAAAAAGATATGGGCTTAAGGATGTACCTTGGTGTATGCTTTTTGCTGATGATATTCTTCTTGTTGATAAGACTAGAGAGGGAGTTGAAGGTAAACTTGAATTATGGAGGTCAACCTTAGAGTCTAAAGGTTTTCGCTTGAGTTAAGTTGGCATGCAAACTATTGCAAATTAATTATTTTATGTTATACTTATTGCTTACGTACATAAGCTCACAGGTATTGGTCATGGTTATTCTTAACATATATTTGTGAGTAGGTCTTCCATGCTTTTTGATAACAGTTTGCAAGGCAAGCTTTCAATTTGTTTATTTATTTTCAATAAAATTTTCTCTGAGTTGAAATGTAAACCAAAAATTGTAATTTTATCTGTTGTTGTTCCTTCGCTTGTTGTCATGGAGCGCATGATATAATTTGAGAAATTTTTAATTATTTAAGCAACTGTGATATGCTCATAATCTTTATTTTTTTCTGAAGAAGCATGTGGCATGCACGTAGACTTTAGAAATGGATTGCTAGTTTGAATTTCGTACATGTGAATGCAATGGTCAGGGTGCTGCCTGTCCTTAGTAATATTTGGAGCTTCACTTGCCTAAGTTAAGCCTAAACCCTCTTCAGCTAAGAAAAAAAAGTGCAGTAGTTTTCCTTTACATCTCTTATTATTATTAATTTTAGTGGCTTATTTTAAATTAACTGGGAGTTATTTTATTTCGGCACTTCATTCAATTAAATTCATCATTTTTTTGCTTTATCAATTTATTTAATTATTTAAATGTATTGAAATTTAGAGTTAAATCTTTGTGTGTGTGTGCATATGAATGTGTCTATTTCCTCATCACACTTGTACTACGAATGGTAAGCCGATGGCTTGCTTAGGTACTTGGGTTATTGCAAGGTGAGTCCATAGCGCTTCACATACCTTCAGGTTGGTACCATTGCTAAGGCGTGCCAATGAGAGCTAATTTTTTGCATTGATTGAAGAAATTGGTGCTAATATTACAAGGAATAAGTAATGTGTCTAATTTGTTACGTTGATTGAAGAAATTAGTGTTAATGTTACAAGGAATAAGTAATATGCCTAGGAGCGCCTTGTTTAGAAGGAATAAGTACTTTGGCTAATTTGTGCATTGCTTGAAGAACTTGGTGCTAATATTACATCAATAAACATAATTTAGCTTTTAATAATGATGATTTGACATGAAGCGATGCCAAAAGAGCATTTAGTCAGAGAAAAAGGTGCCTACTAGGAAAATAGAAAGGCAAATTACAGGTATAAGAGCTTCAATCTAGGGTAGTGAATATTGAGTTTGAGGAGATAGCTAGAGATAGAAATCCAATGGTAGGAAAGAGATTATGGATGATGAAAAAGATAAAACAAATAATAGTGAAGATTAGATGATCCCATTGCTGCACATACCATAAATTAAGTATATTATCTTGCTTGTTTTAGGTAAATTTTTTTAAAAAATAAATAAATAAAGTTAAATATTTTCTTTGCTAAGGTTAATGTGATGATCATTACTTTATACTAAGAAAGTATTCATCTTGCTTAAATTTAGTTTATAAATGATAGATTTTTTTTGGCGACTCTGATCATTCTAGCACTTAGGATTGTATTAGCGCGCAAGCATTGACCATCCATGTCTCCCTGAGAGGAACACTTTCGAAAATGCTACCCTATAATATTTATTTAAAACAAAAATAAGCATTTCAAATCAATAAAAATTCAAATTTATCCAAATAATATATGGCTTCTGTTTCACTTATTTTAATTTTGAACAAACTACCACATATTGGTAAGGAGACTTCCACATGGTAGGCATTTTGAATCATCTGTTTTGAATCTAATGGTAGCATTTATTAGGACACTTGAAAGGGAGGCATTGTGGTACGATTTTTTAGATATGCTTTCTAAAGCATAAACTCTTCCATATTTAATTAAAATAAACTCCAATAGTTTCCATCCATTATCTGAGATGCTCGGGGAAATCCCTGCCGTTCATTTCAATGGAATGTAGCATATCTGTTGTTTAAATTAGACAAGTATTATTCCAAAAAGGGGTGGTTGCACATCCCTGCGCAAAGCCTAATACCTTTTGATCCAGTTGATTGTCCTTCACTCCAGTTACTTGTCTTGAGATTCACATGTTACTAAGGACAGTCATATCCTGAATCTTTGAATGTAAACTAGTTTGCTTTCTGACCATCCAAAAAGGTTAAAACTAGCGTTTTCCAATACCTATGCCAGACATCAAATATATGTTGGTTATGGTTATGCTTTTTGTTTAGTTTTAATATTTTGTGAGTTCCGATCGTTCAGCTGTTTCATTTTCTACTTTCTATATTATTTATGTAGTTTTCAAACTTTTCCTTTTATGTACCCCTAATATGCTTGCAACTATAATGGTTGTAATGATCCACTATGTTTGTCTGTGTATATTGCAGGTTTCATGTCCGATAGTTAAGCTTGTTTTAAGGAATAATGTCTTAAGAACATTGCGAGGGTTAGAAAATCTGAAGTTAGTTGAAGGTCTTGATCTTTCCTGCAATCTCATTTCCAGTTTCTCAGAGATGGAGATCCTTGCAAACTTGCCTTGTCTCCAGAATTTATGGTTGGAGGGAAATCCTATATGCTATGCTAGGTGGTATCGAGCACATGTTTTTAGTTTTTTCTCTCATCCAGAAAGAGTAAGTTGATCTCTTTGCAAGAAATTGACCATACTAAGATTACTCTTGAAATTAGTGTTTCTTAGCTTACGATTAGACTAAGATTACTCTTGGAGTACAAATGTGCAAATGTTTATATAAAATTCTTTGATTTTGTAGCCCTAATTTCTGTTTGTTTGTTTTTATTTTTCAGCTGATATTAGATGATAACAATATAAGCACAAAGGAGTACTGGGAAAGACACATCATATATACAAGCAGACAGAAACAACCTCCAGCTTATGGATTTTACTTTCCAGCAGAAATTCATACTGAAGAAGATAGCAGTGCACATGCAAACAAGGTAAGCATTTTTTCCATAATTATGATGTTGTACTTCATCCCTTTAAAATTGTTGTTTGTAATTGCTGTAACCAGGAATGGTGTTACTTCGTCTAAGACAACACATAAAATAAGAAATGAAAGAAAAAAAATTTTGGCTTGCCGTTGTTAAATTTACCTCGTTGCAATTCATTTTATCAAGCTCATCATTTCCCAGTTTCATATGAATATTTATTACACATCAGAAATTGGATCTAATGCAAAGCATCATGTTTACTATTGTAGAAAAAATATTTTCGTTTAGCAAATATTGAGGATAACGAGCAGAGGGAACATCTTTGTATGGAAGCTATTGAACAAGATTCCTTGTCCTGTGATAGTGATAATCTCAGGAAGGATGAGATTACCACAACAGATGATGAGTCAAAAATAATTGGTCTGATGAATAAAGTAGAACACCTGAAGAAGGAAAGGTCCGTACTTTGGTTGCGAGACTTCAAGGATTGGATGAATCAGAGCTCTGACATCATAGCTGACAGAAATCAGCAGAAAGATTTAAACTTAGATTTTCAGAGTGAGCAAAGTAGGGAACCATTAACAGATGCAAATTTTGGAGAGGGCTCGCATTGTGCTAACAGCACAACACAAAAAGAAGGAGGTGGGAGCTTTTCAAACATAACCTATTCTGATATTTCTGATAATGGTATTTTGGATAAAAATGTTAGAACACCTGCGGAAAATGATGAAAAATGCTTTGTAACTGGTTTAAGATCTCAGGAAGTCATTTCGGAGCAAGCTGAGATGGACGATGATTTTAGGAATCCAGATAACCTTTCTCCCTCTCCCTTAATTGTAAATGACAAGTCTAGTATCAATTATTCAACAGTTTGTGGAAGCGAACACTCAGATCTAGCAATTAACTCAGGGTCATTTACTGCAATTGATGAGATCATTGGATCCCACTCATCCTCAATATATCATGGATCACCACCACATTACCGGGAGGACATTTTACACCGTCGTCTTTACCTAGAGGAAGAGTTCCTACAACTATCAACTGAGTCTCATTCTGTGGAATTGTCAGATAGTGATACTAGCTCCAGTGAGGACGAATCATGTGTGTTCAATATGTCAATGTGTGAAAATGATTGTAATTGCATTCAAGGATTTGCCTTAGAATCTTCAAACCATGGGGCTATTCATGCTAATAATCACAGGAATGAGCAGGAAGAACCATATCCAACAAATGTACATTTGTGTGAGGATCAAACCAAACTCTTTGATGCTAGTAATGAAGAAGCATCCTCCACAAACAATCATGCTGATTCTGCAGGTTGCTGTACCAGTTCACAGTTGAATCAGGGTGCTCGAGACATTAAGAGGATAAACTGTAAACAACAACTTAAGATAGGATTTGTCTCTCTCTTTGGGAACTTGTTGACAGGTAATAGTCAGTCAGAATGCGAAAAGGTTAATGGAGTCCTAGAATCTCACAGATTTGAGCAGGGCCAGTCAAGCTGTTGTGCAAATGGTTTCAGTTATGGTAGGATGAATGATAAAGTTTTGCAACAAAAACATGGAGCGGAAACTGTTTTGGCATCCATATTTGATAAAAACAAGCAAAATGAATATATAAAGGACTTTTTTAACTCAAATATTGCGGATTCTGAAGCTTCTGAAACATGTCAACAAATTGTTTTCTGTGGATTTATGTACCAGCAGGGATCAGTTTCTCATGAGAGGTAAACTAACTTCTCCTTTTAAATTGCATCTTTTTACCTACTGATATATTTTAGGAATAAGATTTAGGCACTTTGTTATAGTAGGAATAGTTAGACTTCTACTGAGCTTGCATCAATTGATTCTCTATGTAGCAATAACTTTTATCCTGTTGAAATTGTGTTGCTTCCATGATATAAATGTAGCCATAACAAACTGTTACATCAAGTAATTCCTTGAATTCGTTTTTCAAGTTTGACTAGAAAAGTGTGTTCCATAGGATTTTTTTTGCAGATCTATGGCATGAAGCATGGAAGATAGTTGCTTTTCTTTATCATGAATTTGCCATAGAAGGATACATGACTACTTGCTTAAGTGCCAGTCATTTAGGTTATTTGTTAGGCATGCTTGACCACGCTGTAATCATTGGTGCTTTTTGCAATTTGCTAGTCCATCTCCAAGATTCTTTATCTATTTTGTGCAGTGAAGCTGCTTTACTGAGGAGCTGTAAGAACAAACTATATATGCTACTACTTAATAAAATAGATGATGGGTTAGGTAAGATTATGTCCGATTTAATTTCACATTTCAATTGTTAAAATTTTTTTACAGTGTCATTTTCTCGTTTATTACCAGTCACACCCAGAGCATGAGTCATTTAATTTCTTATAGTTCTTTTGTAGATAATGTTTCTAAAGTTCCGAGATGCTACGAGCTTGATGAGATTAGGGAAGTTGTTACAGGCCTTGGACTGCAAACTTTAAGGTTAGCAGCTTAACTATTCATATTAATGAAGCTTTGGGTTTTACTAAATGTGGAGCTCACTTCAGGGTACGCATGGAGGGTGATATGACGTATCTATTCTTAACAAGATCATTTGAGACCTCTAAAGATTTATTCAGCCTATTACAAGTATATGATTCAGGAACATCAACTGCAAAATGTTCTATAAAAAGGTGAACTCTTCTTTTGTATTATATGGGTTTGAAATGTGAATATGATAGTCATCGCCACCTAAATAACTTATGTAATCTTATTTTGTGTTATTTCTTAGTATGCTTTCATGATTGGTTGGCTTTTGAAATTTTGTCTGGCAGTTGGGAGCAGGTTCAGGTTGACTTGCTGGAGAAATATATCTCAGGAAGTTTACACAGAGGAATATATTTCTACTCGATGATTTTTCTCTTGCAAGACAAATGTGAAGGTATGCTATTAGTTCCACGCCTGTATATCACATTTATTAATCATCCACATAAACTAATAATATTGTGACTTCCCCTGAGTTTGAGTGTTTAAAGAATAGTGTATGGTCCCCTTGACTCTGTCGGTACCCCATTAAGAAGCATGAATTTTGAGAATCTTCCAAACCAGACCCTAAGTGATTGCTTTAGCCCATATAAAGCTTTTTTTAACCTACACCTTGTCACCCCTAGATTTTTTCTTAAATTCTTGTACTATCTCCATAAATATCTCTTCCTTCAAGCCCCATGTATGAATGTATTTTTTACATCCAGTTGTTCCATATGCCAGTTATATTTAGCTGCTAGTGAGAGTAGGATCCTAACAGTGTTCATCTTAGCTATAGGTGCAAATGTTTCCTGGTAGTCAATGTCATATGTCTGAGTATACCCTTTTGCCGCTAGTCTTGCCTTGTACTTTTCCGGTTGTACTTTATAGAGAATACTCATTTGCAGCCGTCTGATTTTTTCCCTCGGTAGGTCGATGTTCTCCCAAGTATTGTTCTTTTCTTGGGCCTGCATTTCATCTTTAATGGCATTTTTTCAATTTTCATCAGATAAGGCCTCAGAAATATCATTAGGAATATGACTATCTTTTAGTGTAACCAGAAAGTATTTATGTGAGGATGAAAAGTTATTGAAGGACATAGAGTTGGTTATGGGGTACAAGGTAGGTGGTGAACTTGTGTTTACCTTAATTTCAGGAGATGATTCAGATTCTTGGATTTTCTTCGGTGCATAGTTTGAACTTGTACATATGGAATATACATTCCCAAACCTAATGACAGCTTTATCCTCAGTTTTCCTGTATTTTGATTTCATGTGGATTGGTTTGAGGTGTGGAGGTGAAAGGTCAAGAGGGGAAAGGTCATTTTCCTCATCTTCCTCAATTTCAATCTCCCCGTGAAGATGATGTTTGGTAAAATAATTTTTTTTTCCATCAAAAGTAACATCAATAGATATAAGAGTTTTCTTTATGGGGGATGATAACACTTGTAACCGTTTTGGGTGGCTGAATATCTAACAAAGATGCATTTGAGTGCTCTTAGATCTAATTTTTTTCTATTATGGCTGTGAATGTGAACATAAGCAGTTCACCTAATGATTTTGTGTATAAGGTTATTATGGGTTTGAAACTCGGGGTAAAAGGATGACAGATTATCCATTGGAGTTTCTAGTCCCAAGGCTTTTGAAGGTAGTCGGTAGTCTGTTTATGAGGTAAGTGGCGGTTAGGAGGGTTTCCTCCTAATAGAATTTGGGTATATTATTGTGGAATAGGAATGCACGAGTTGAGGCTAGAAGGTGATCATTTTTTCTTTCCGTAATTCTATTTTTTAGTGGGGTGTGAATGCAAGAAGATTCATGGAGGATACATTCACTTTAAAAGTAGGAGTATAGGTTTGGTTGAAGTAGTCTTTACTCTTTAGCATTGTTAGAACAAAATTTTCTTATTTTTACCCCGAATTGATTTTGAATCATGGTGTGAAAATTGGGAAGAATGGTGCTAACATCAGATTTATTTTTGATGAGATATATCCAAGAGACTCGAGTACAGTCATCAATGAAAGATACAAACCAGTGAGCCCTAGAGATGGTGGGGATTTTTTGGGTTCTCATATATCACTATGAATAAGATAGAAAAAAGTATCACATCTCTCATTCTTATTTGGAAAATAAACTCTTTTATGTTTGACTAACTCACAAGTTTCACAATAAAAATATTCTTTTTTCAATTTATAAATAAATTTTGGATACATATGTTTTAAGATATCAGAAGACCTAATCTAAAATGATGAAGTCATATTGTAGATTTATTATAAACTAGGGATAACATAGAGCAGCTATTTTTAATGTTTTTAGATTTATTCAGCTCTTTCAGGTAGTACAATCCAGCTCTCTCCTTAGCAAATCCAATCTTCTTCCCCATTCTCTGGTCCTGAAATAAGCAATATGTAATGTTAAATAATACTTGACAATTATGATCACTGGTAAGTTTCTGTACAGATTTTAGGTTTGTCGATAATTGAGGTACATGGAGCATATTTTTTAGAGTGAGGGAGATAAGGGTATGACTCATTGGCCTGCTATTGTGGTAAGAGAACCATCAATAGTGATGATTTTCTTGTCACTTAGCCAAGGAGTATAGTTTATGAAGTGAGTAGTGGAGTGTGTCATGCGATCTGTGGCTTATGAGTCAATGATTCATAATCCTTTCAAATGATTTGCAGAGGAATTTAATCCAATGAATATAGGAAACTTACCTGAAAGTGCAAGAGAAGAAGATGCATGTGATTTTTCAAGGGATACCAAGAGTTATTTTAGTTTATCAATATTTTCTTTATCGAGCTCTTTGAAGCTAAACTGTGTTTTTGGGTTAGGTTGACTTTTTTATTGTTGGTTGGCTTGTGATGTGTCCTTTTGTCCACTTTTTTTCTTTCACTTCTTACTTGAGGGTTTTACATGTATCTTCCAGCATGTCTACTTTGTGTGTTTTGATTTCTTGCAATAATTGCACCAAAGAGAGTCTCTATCTTTAAATTTCAAGGAGTCTTTACTTTTTTCATTCCATGTGCTTCTCTGGTCGTCACCATTGCTAAACTTTCAACAGCATTTGGCTCCAACATTACTCCTCGTCGGCTTTCTTCATCGCAAATGAGAGAAACTGTCTCATTTAATGATGGTGTCTCATCTTTGTTAAGAATTTGGACTCTCAGTTGATCAAATTATGCATTATGTCCTGCAATAAAATCATACTCTCTATCTTTATAAATAAACTTTTTTAGGATAGGAGCATACTATGAACACCTGATCTCTATGCATCTGTAGTGATCAAGTTCTTGCCATAGATTTTGAAAAAGAGTGGCATACTATGTCACTGTCTTACTTCCTTGTTTTGTGCTCTCTACCTTGATTTTAATTTTAAAGATTTGAGCAGCATCCCTAGCTTTTTGAGAATGTTTGTCTGGAGGCATCCCTTATGTCCTTTGCAGTGGATAGGAGTCTAAACGTATTGCTAATTTCTAGAGTCATGGAATTCCACAATCTTGACATAATCATGGAGTCCGTTTTATCTCATGCCCAAAAATTAGGATCTCCTTTGGTCCTCCGATGAGGTGATGTATTTTTCCTTTCCCTTTCAAGTATGTCTTCACAATTGAGACCATTTTAGATAGTTCTTCTCATTTAGGTGATATGAATGTTGCATGCTTTGGAGATCACCTCATCCTGGGTGAACCATAGAATCCTCAATTTGATCAGAACTCTGAGATGAATTTCCTTCAGACATTGTGATGTCAAAACAACAAATAATAATAAAGACTTTCTCTAATTATATCTAGCAATGAAGGTCGATACTTATTTGAGTAAATAGGAATTCAACAGATCTTATTTGATTTGGTCAACCGCGCTTCGGGTCAGCAAGCCCGACTCCTAGGTCTTGTTTATATCGACTCCTTCTTACGACTTGTGCTCATGTCTTGACTTTAGACGCACGAATAAGAAGGGACATTTAGATTGCTGGTCGACCTCTTATTCCAGATGCACGAACGAGTCAGTTGGTAAGCAGGAGGCTCACTTGGCTCCATCTGCGCCTCGGCTCCATTTTTCCCGGCCGTAGGTAGGAAGATCATGTTTGGTCTTTTCTTTGGCACATAGAGCCAATTGTACGCAAAGAGGAGTCGCCAATTTCGACAATCAGTTTCTAGGGCAATGAATGTCTCCCTCTTTACTTCCTTCATATCTTCCTTTATGAAGATTTCCTCTCTACTTTCTTCGGATCTTCTTTTATGAAGAACCTGACTCTGATACCATGTTGAATTGAAAATTTTGAGAGGGAAAAAACTTCCTTTATTACACAATTCTATCCCTATTTATAGATCTATACATAATGTTAAATAAAGAAAAAACTAAATTACAAAATCAGGCATTATAGCTATCATATATTCCTTCCTAAATCAACTACCTAACTATGGAAGGGAATCAATGGGCTTTCCATAGATCCCTATCCATGACTGTGGGATCAATATGGAGATGAGAGGTTGGGATTTAACAGTTTCCAATATTTGTGTTTGTTTATGTTATATTGAATGGGAGTTTTTTCATTTACATCCCTAATATTCTCTCGCTTGTTTTAGATCCTAGTTTGCATCAGTGGCGTAGCAAATAACTAAATTAACTTGGGCCTGTCATATTGTTCTTAACGAAACAGAGCCCACTTTGAAGATGGGCCTAAAAATTAAAGTTTTCATTTATGCTGCTCGTTTATTTTGCCTTCTGTTACTGGAATTAGTCTTTAATGTTTTGTTTCTTTGAACTCGTAAGCATACTTCTTGGACTTATTACATGAAAATTAGTATTTTTTTGATTGAACAGGAAAATCATGGCTGTCAAGGTCATTGTTTGTAATTGAGGGATATATTATTATATGCAGTGAGAATCTCATACAGTTTGGCTCACCAACGTATTGTCTTGGAACCCCACCTTATTACTCTCTTGATTCACTCTGCCCCATACAAAACATATTGGAATTGGTAATTTTTCATTGAATCAGTATTTTTGTTATCGTTTCTTGCTATGAATGTTTGCTTGAAGGACTAACCGTTCTCAATTTTAGGCTTCGTTTGGGACGGCTTTCTTATTGTTTATTATAGCAGCTTTAATTTTTGTTCTAAAAAGTTACTATAAGAAGCAGCACGAAAGCCGTCGCAAACGAAGCCTTAATCTTGAAATTCAATGAAAATGCCATCTTTTGATCATAGTTCTGAACCTCTTTCAGATCATAGAATCAGAAGAGGATTGCAGATGCTTAACTTTGATTGCTGGAAATGTTCCTTACGGAAACATTTTTTTGGACGATAGCAAGAGAGGAAATCTGCAACAAGAGAATCGAAGAAGCTGTACATGGAAACTGAAATGGGTCTCTGAAGATTACTTGATGAGATTTGTGTCATTGCTCAAGGCCATGTACTTGGGCTTCTCTGCAACTTCTCTACATGTAAAGTATGCATCTTGATCTGTCTATAGAATTGTCAATTTTGCTTTTGATTCAATTTATTCTTTTCAATTTTATTTTGTGAGTAGTTTTGTACAGTTACTTTTCATTTTTTTTTAATGTTGGGTGAAGCATTTTTTACCTATAAAATTGTGCTTGTGAAGGTGTGAATAATAAAAGCTTCTCAAACCAATTTTTCTTGCACCCCAAAGCCTCATGGTAATTTGAAGTAATATTTTACCATGTCAACATGTTTATCTTGTTTATAATATATAAAATGTTCTAAACAAGATAAAACAAGTCATAAAATTGAAATTAGGTCTAAGAAAATGAATTCAAACCTATTCTTTCTTCATACCCTAATCACCCACACCCACTAGGGTTGTAATTGAGAGCTAAATCAACTCGCAAACTAGCACAAATTTGATTCATTAACAAGCTCATTAGGTGAGCTTATTCAGTCACAAGTTTGAACTTCTATATTAAGCGAGCTCGAGCTCTGAATCATAAACTTATTGACCCACTCATTAAAATTAAAATATAATTAAAAATTAATTTTAAAATAATATAATAAAATATATACTAAATATTTTAAATTATTTCTCTAATCAAACTCGAATTTTTTAAATGACCTCAAGAAATTGAGTTGAACTTGAGCCTAATAACTTTCGAGTAATCCCGTAATAACTTAATTTAATTAGACAGATACTCGACTCATTACATATTAGAATTAGTAAAATGTTGAATTTCCATATTATTTGTTTTTATTTTTTTTATTTAATTTCCATATTAATGTATATACATGTGTTATACATAAATTAATCAAAATAAATCATAACCAGCCCAGTTAACTTAACACGAAACAGAAATGTATCATAAATCAGAAATATGTACTGCTTTTGGGCTTATATATCCAATGGAGACGGCCCACGGCTCCTCTGCCGACGCCTCCTATTTCGCCTATCGGCTCTTGAGACATCCACAGCTCTCCCTGCAGCTGCATCAGCAACACCATCAACTCCTTCCCACTGAAGCCTCATAAGCCGAGCCCCTTCCTGCAAGAAGTAGAGGATGTTCCTGTTAAGCATTAAAGGATCTTCATTACCACTCTCATCCGCGTCCTCGCCGGCAGCGCCGGCGCTGCCATTGTTCATCTCAATAACATAGTCTCCAAACACCATTGATCTCGGCATTGACGACATTATCGTGCTTATGACATCCTGCCGTTCGCCCTCGAGTTCCAGCACCCTCCATTTCTCCTCCATCTCAGGGTCGATTTCTCGAGGCTTCGCGCATCGGTGCTCGGACTTCACATGCTTTTTGAGCTCCTTGTATGTCCCCATGAAAGAGCAATCATCCTGCATGCAGCTTCTCTTCTTCTCATCGAGATATTTGCGAGCCGGTTCGACCACCGTCCATCCTTTCACCGGCCCGCGACATAGAGGGCATGAAAGCTCCAGTGCTTCAGAATTGCTAATCAGAGGCCATCTGGAGTTTCTGGGATTGTCTCCCAAGGAATTGTATTCAGTACAGGTGACTTTTGTGTAAGCCTTTTTGAATTGCTCAAGGCAGTTTGAGTAGCGATGGCTGGTTCCACACATGTAAGGGCGGCAACCCTTATCATGGGAGGAGCAGAGCAAGAGAACTGCATTATGTGGGAATTCCATGCACACAGAGCAGGTGGATTCTTCCCAGTCATTCCTCTCCAATGCTGATGTTCTTTTGAAGTTGCATTCTTTTCGAGCATCCCAGCAGAATGGCTGCGATGTAGGATAAGGGGTTGATCTGAACTGACGAGATGAAAGTCTGCGGCGATTTTTAGCACTTTTTGCCATGTAAGAAGCAAATTTTAGTCTGAAAAAAGAGGAAGAATGGAAAAATAAGAACCAGAATAAAATTGTAATGAATCAAATGGGTATAATTATGTACAATCATGCAAAGAGAAGAAGATAACAATAAGAAAATATAAAAGCAACATGAATATCAAGTTTTTATCCTACTACATAGGTTAGCTACACAGAACCATTTTTCCTCCATTGTATCATGTTAAGAATCAAATTCTCATTTAAATCTAATCATTTCTAATATTTTCTAATAATTTTTTTAGGTCTACCTCTATTTTTCTTAACATAGGCCAAATCTAATACATCTATGCTCCTAACCAAGTCATCGATAGGCCGACGTTTTATGCGTCGAAACCATCTAACACGACTCTCTCTAATCGTATCTCCTACTAGAGCTACTCCAACCTTTTCACATATATACTCATTTCATATTTTGTCTTTAAGAGTGAAGTCACTCATCCACCTAAGCATTTTCATCTATGTAACACTTATAGCTTACTTTTATGCTTCTCTTTCGATGGCCAACATTTTGCACTATAAAGCATTTCAGGTCTCACCACCATCTTATATAATTTTCATTTAAGTTTGAGGGATATTTTTCTATCACATAACATGCCCAATGCATTCCTCCACTTCAACCAACCAACTTGAATTCTACTAAAAATATCGCCATATATTTCACCGTCACTTTGAACAATATACCCAAGATATCTAATATGTATATTCTTATTAATAACTTGATTGTTCAAAGTCACAATCCCACCACTAGATCTAATACTACTAAAATTACGCTTGGTTTTAGATCTACTCAAATGAAAAACTTTAGACTCTAAGGCTGACCTCCATAATTCAAGTTTTTTCTTAAACTCCCTCTCTAATCTTATCAACAAGAACAATATAAAAAGAAGAGGAAAAAAGATAATTGGGAAGGAAAAGCGGTCCAAACAAAACTTCAATTCCTTGACTTGAAAATAATTGGTAAAGAAAGCCCTCCACATCATCATGACTAGCTATATCTTAACTACTTGGTGTTGCCTTTACACATTATAATTTTTCATTCATTTCTAATGAATGTCACAACAATGTTAATCCTTATTTTTCTATAATTTTTTCAATATCTTGCATTCATGTGTTATCTTCCTAATTCTTTGATACTAATATTATCTATCATTTTCAATTATTTTATCTTTAATATATTCTATATTCTCCTACAACCATCCCTTTAATAATAATCATTATACAATTTATCTTTCATATTTGTCCAGCATATTTGCTTAGCATCCACCTTCATATTCTCATTTATGTCATACTAAACATGACAATCACAACGGAATATTTACTTATTTCTCAATACTCATATCATATAACAAAGCCCTTTATACTAAGCATATTTGTTGGTGAGTTTTATGTGCAATTTTAATTCTGAGTGTTTGCAAGATGCTCATTGTGTTCCCCACTATATGCCCATAAGCTATCTAACAATATAGCTTTGAATTTGTTAATCATGGGAACCTTAATAAGTATTAAGCCTCATGCAATGCAAAGTCTAATTTGTGGAAATTATAAAACTAGTATAGACGAGCCAAACGCATAGAATTAATTAAACAATTTGAAGGGATATTGCATGAACTAGGGAACTAATGGGGGAAATTTTCCAATGTACATTTATTAAAAAATAAAATCTTGCGTCCCTTCTCAGAAGGTCGTTCTAATCTTAACCGTGGAACATTTTTTGGGATGCTATAACCAAAGAAAAAGTGAGGTGGAACTGCGTAAAGCAAATTTGCGAGAGCAGATAACCCTCTACCAAGCACTTTTAAATTACTTCTGTCTGATCCAAGAACCTGAAACAAATTTCTCGGTTTCATGTTTTCCACAACCAGATTCCAATACTAACTAGATGGATCAAAATTACCAGGAATATAAGACTGCAATTCAATTCCTACACGCAAGTTAGGCAATAATCTCTCAAGCCTGCTAGGCAATAATCATGGTAGAAGTATATTATAGCGACCGGGGTAGGCAAGCGCCCTGCATGGGCTCCTGGGCTTAGGTGGAGTTGACACACATAGCCTAGTATTCCTCATGCTTACACTAGTATAAAACTGTGACGTCTTGATTAAAATGGAAATAATCAACCATTGATATAGGCATGCTGATAAAAAAAATGATAAATTAACATAAAGAAGGAATTTGAAGAAATGGTGAATATATAAACAATTTGCAGTTATCTCATATGGTTCCAATTCGTGCGACTCGGACTATGGGGAGCACGAGGTCAACATCAGCCTAGGGGAAATCAACCACTCCCTCCTATGAAAATCACAGTTTACGAAGCCACTCCAAAAAATATAACAAATGGTTCAATCATCATTGGTGGGCTCCTCTAAAGGACTCACCCATATATGTCTTCACCATGATGAGCACTCGCCCCAACAGAATCCGCTCTTCCACATTGTATGCAATCAAAGCCATCCGCCTATAGCAAATATCCCCGACCAAACTATAAGAAGTGCACACATATGAAGCCCGCGACCATGACTTCATTGATTGAACTCGTCCCTAACTCAATGTCACTTCGACTCAAGGAACTTGCCTCTCATTCCTAGGGGACCCGCCTTCACAGACTTTCCCTATATGCAACATTCTGAAACCTTTCCCAATGCACTCTTCCCAGAAGTCTTTCCCAAGGTGCTTGCCTGCGAGGAAGGGGGCCAGGCCAAAGATAAGGGTCTTTATGTATACCATCCAACTAGCCAATGTGTTTGTATCTGCCTAGACTTTTCAAATCATATAATATTCTTCTATTTATTCTAGGTATAGTCTTTCCCACAGCACTGTTAATCCTATGAATAAAAAGTGAAGAGGCATATTTTGAACTTCATGTTGTAGGGATTACTTATAAATATTAGAGTTCTATACTTACTCAATGCTCACTAACTTTCGACACTTGGTTCTCTAGCTTTAACCCGTCAATGATCTATTAACGAGGTATTCTCCACAGACAAATTTGGATCTAATAATATATATTCAGAGAATTTATAGCTATGATATATGTGAAATTTAGACCATATAGCTTCCATTCAAGTACGATGAACCGAAGAACTAGGATTGACAGAATAGCATAGTTTAAGCAAGTTGAGTTGTGTTAGGTTAGGCTCGAATAATTGAACAAGAATGAGCTTGCTTATGCAGAACATAACTACATCAATGGGTAAAGGAAGATGATTGGAGCTTGGCTTCATGGGCATAACAGAGAGGAAAAGGAGAGAGGTGGAAGAGTAGTTTAGATTTTCATTGGATCATACAAAGGAGAAAAAAATACAAGGAAAAGAATGACAATGACAAGTATATTCTAGCAACCAATTTCAACAACAAAGGCCCGGGATCCTGTGATGTTCCTAGCAGTTGGTGAAGCTTCGTAATGTCAAAGGATAACAATTTCCAGCTCTACTTCATGTTCTAGAAAAAGAGAACCCATGACATTACTCGCATAGATACAAACATGGAGGAAAGAGCTTAAAAGTGCAACTGAAAAAGGTACCAGTTTAAAGAGGGAGGCAGAATTACCAAGATGAACCAAGTGGCCAAAGCAGAATATACATTTGACGACTGCTACAACTACAATTCTGTTAAATTGAAAATCTATCCTATTTAATCAGAATAAATTAAAAAAAAAATTACTGCTCCGATGACCACTAACAAAGTTTTAATTACCATAAGTTTTTTTCACATTTCTATTGTTACCCTTAACAAAATACAATAGAATCCAATATTTCCCACTTTCCTTCGATTTGCTCCCTTTAAATTTAATTTCTTACAAGCATGTGGTATTTAACATTTTTCTAATTATTTAGCCTATTAATTCTCTATATTTTCATTAAAAATGATGTAATATATGCAATCTTAATTTTAGACAGCCAACCCTCAAACGCTTGTTCACCAAAAATGGGTTTATGTGTGCACGCTATGTGATGTGTATTATGCAGGTGACATAAACCAAGCCTTGTCTAACTCTCATCACAATCAAGTTAAGTTTTGGCACCTGACTAATCAGGATGTCCTAATAAACCTAGTCATTTTTAACAACAATTGAATTATTTCATGGAATGTCATTTCTTTGGAAACCCCAACCACAACCAGTGCAATTTAGTACATACATTTCATTTCAACATATCCTATGGAGGCCCACACACAAGAAGAATTCGTGAGGAGGGAGGACTTCGCTTCAGACATGAAAAATGACAAGCATCATGGTTAAGTAAGGGTTCAGATCAAAACTAAGGCATGGACAAGTTAATCCTTGCATTATAAACAGAAGTTAAGCATCCAAAACAAATTGTCCGCACTCAGGGCCTGGATACAGAGACAAAGTTCTCCCAGGAATGTGACATTTTCTAACTTTCTCAAGCGTCAAATTGAAAATAAGGCTATTTCCTTTTCTAGAATGTCATTTTTCACTCTGATAATTACCAGCTGAACAAATTTATACCTTCATTTCAACCCATCAAAGCAATACACAACTATCTGCAGCAACTTACAGACTAAAAAATAAAACTGCATGACATTTATTGGAGAACACAACCACAGATCTACCAATAGAATGAAATAATGAGATTTACCTGTCCAGAGATATAAAAGCTGCCTATCGGAAACAATGAGGAAGAATTCCAGATCTCAACCCCCCACCAGCATGAATATCCAACAACAAGCAATATATACACGAAATAAACCAAAGATTGACCAAACAAAGAAGAGGAAAAGGAATCTCAACTACCGAACCAACCAGAAGCAATAAAATAAGTATCGCGGACGTTTCTGACCAACAATTACGGGCACGCCATCGACCAACAGATCCGTCTGAAATTTCACAGCAAGCCCCGGTACGAAACCCCCCTCTAAAAAGTAAAATAAATTACACCAAAAAACTATACAAAACACAAGCCGAACAAAGAAATTCTCCAGTATAAATCGTCGCTAGACAAATGGAAAGGAGCCTCTTCAATTCTTTACAGCGAGTTGCAGCACATGCCAAGTAGATTTGTAGAAATCACTGTGAAATGATGATAAAAAAAGGGGTAAAGATTAGGGAAAGTGGCGTACCAGTGGTTAGTGAAGGATTACAGGGGGATCAGAAGGAATCTAGGGTTTGGTGGAGAGAAGCGGTCAGAGGGTAAGCAAAGCTTGCTCGATCCTCTACTACATGGTCTCCATTCCGCCTAGATGGGGCGCATGAGATCAGAGAGAGAGAGAGGTGGGGAAGGGATATCGCGGATGAGTTGCAGGCCACGTTTTGGTGATCGATGAAGCGTCATTTTTATTGGGATGGATCTTTTTCCTTAAAAGTCCAAACGCGCGCCATCGAATGAGTTGAGAAGAAAAGGAAGATTTACAATTGGAGAAAACGAGTCGACGAGGTTGTTCGTTGGTGTTCGGCTCTTTGCATATATATTTATATTTCAAAAGTTGCTCATATTGAAAATTATTTCGAAAATTGATCTATTTATAAAAATTATGTATATATTAATTTGATAATAAAAAGAACAATTTTAAGATAATGATTAGATTTAATTATAAATCTAAGAAAGATATATATAAATCAAAGAAATTTTAGTTAGAAAATAATAAAAATAATATTTTTTATTAGATTTAAATGAAAAATTAAGAACACAATGAAGAAAAAAAATAATGTAGCCAGCCCCACAAAATGGGATAAATGAGTTGAATACAAACATATATATTGAGCTAAAATTTTAAATGAGACCAATAGCAAATCTTTGTTTGACCATATTGATTTAATAATTAAATTTATTTATTTATTTGTTATATTTTTTTATTAATAGTAATTTATGATTTTTTATATAGTTATGTTTTTGTGAATTATTATTTTATTTAAAAAAAATAAAATTTAAAATTTTTTAAGAATTCGAGCTAAATTCAAGTTAAATTATTGATTTTATTAAATTTTATGACAGATGCATTGAGAGCTTTGACTATCAATCAAAAAATATTGGGTTCGAAGTCTGTGTATGTTATTTATGTACGAATTTACCTAAATTAACCTAAAAGTCGCAACAACAAAAAAACTCACATCTTAAAGAAGAAAAGAAAATCAAATTCAAGACACTCAAAAATAGAAACAAGAAATGTCCTGCAAATTACAATAATTTAATTTATTGTATGAATGTAACATTCAATGAATAATTTAAAGGTTTAAAATGTAAATGATGAATTGCAAATAAAAACAAATCATGAAAAAAATATTATATGAGAATATTATAATGCAAATTAAAATATAATAAAATTGGGAATTGTTATATTTGTTTAGTGATTAATATTGCATTGATTTAAATATAATAGAATTTATATCACAATATAAACAATTTTTTCTAAATCATTTAATAAGAATAATCAGAGAGCAAATTCTGACCAGAATTGTATTGATAACTCTTATTGCAATTTGTCAATGTTTATGATATAACACGCAATTCTTTTAGAAAGGCAAGTTCGACCAATTCTAGATAAAGCTGAATTGAGAGTTTGTACAAAATTATTATTAAGGCTTAGTTTGGGAGAGCTTTTTTATTATTTTTAGGCTTTTTTGGGACAACTTTCTTACCATTTCTTAAAGCAATTTTATAATATAAAATTTAAAATTTTTGTATAAAAAAATTGATTTAAGAAGCAATAAGAAAACCTTCCAAACGGAGCCTTAAAACGGAATTTTAGTACAAAAATAAAAAATGTACTACTAAAACTCCGTTTTAAAAAGCAATAAAAAAGTCGTCCCAAACGAAGCCTAAGATTTTGTTTCAGACAGCTTTTTTAATGCTTCTTAAAGTAAATTTTTAATGCAACTTTTTAAACTAAAAATTATGTACTAAAAAATTACTTTAAAAATAATAAAAAAGCTATCCCAAACAAAGCCTACGTTTCAAAGCTAATTGGTGCCATCTTCATCATAATATTCATTTTATTTTAGGAAAACTATTAAGGCTGAGTTAATTATGAAAGTAACATTTCTTGCATTTTTATCATAATCATCTGATAAATATTCAAATCAAATTATGCAATTGGGTTACATTGGGACAAGTCAATCGAGCTAAAAAGTTGAATTAAACAAAATTCTTTATTTGGTCGCATATGTTGTAATAAGTACTCTAAGGCTTCATTTGGGACCGTTTTCTCATAGATTTACCTTTAAAATTTCAGTCACAATTTTTATTTGACCTCTATTTTTACGTCACTTTCAAAAAAGAAAAGTTGAACTGCGAAATTTCTTTCTACAAAAATTTTAAAAATTACTTTTTCTAAAGCAACTTTACAAAACAGAAAGAAATCCGTCTCAAACGAAATCTAAATAGATGATGTTGATGTGTCATAAAAAACAAGAAAGATGCAATATTCATAAGATGATGGAGCTTATACTAAGCCAATCCATTTTGTTGAGATGTATACGAACATGATGATTGATTTATAATTTCATTCTCAATGCACAAAGATCAAAAAGAATATTGCATAAATTCAAAAGCATTATCTATATAAAGAACTTTTATTTGATTAGAAATTGAACTTTAATTTCTTGATAGAATAAATGGAATTGATAAGACCTCATATCGATATTTTATTAGGTAGATGCAAGTGACTCTAGTATGGTCATCAATGAATGAAATGAAATAAGAATCATTGTGGAAAGGGCAATAGATCTATGGACAAGGAATATAACATAGAGAACATTATCTAAGATCAAAGAGGAAAGACGAACATATTCTTTCCTTCCTTGGGACCAAATGAGAACCAATAACAGTTATAGCAGGTGGGAGAACAGTCAATGAAGGGGACGAGAATAATTATTTACATGACATCTATATATGGGGAAATACAACCAATAGAGAGAGAAAAAGTTAATACTACAAATATTCTCAATTAAGAGAATAATTTTCATAATAATGACAAAATATTCTAATTCTTAACTTTCCAATCTGAAAGATATCAGCCATAACACAAGCATCACAGCAGAGAAGTAAAAATTATCACCAATTTCTGGTTCATAATGAAGCATATAGAACATGACTGGCAGTTCTTAATTCTTCATTTACAAGGGTACCACAAAAATCTGGACAGAAATTAAACAGGGAATTCCTTGCACAAATTGCAAAAAGAAACTCCTGAAGTGATAACCCCACATTCTTATTTCCAGGTGTTACATTCATTGATTGAATCTTATGACAAGAAAAACACAGATCTCAATGTAAAATAGAAGGTGATAGATTATCTCTTATAGAAAAGTTCAGTTAGAAATGGCTTATAGGCAATAGTTGATCCACTTATACAGTAACTGTACATGGAAATGCATATATACTTCATCCCAGCTAAACATATAGTAGGTTACGATCCTTTAATGCTCTCAAAATAAACACTTGAGAAAAATACAAAGCATTTCATAGCTTGGAAGAACAAGAAGAAAACCTGTACAGAATTGAAAATACGAAGGCAGCTTCGTATGCTTTCCTCCTTCAATCATCAGAATGACAGGTCCAATATATCAGCCCGCTGCAAGGATTAAACCAACTGAGCCCGAAAAATTCATATCACAGTAAACGCATTAATGAAATCTACATATTCTAAACTTCCCATCTTAACAAGAAGCATTTCTGGGAGAAGCCATTTCAGGCTGAAGAAATACAAATTTGATACCTGATCAATATCAAGACACATTGCAGAACACCAGCAACACCAGCCCATAGAGAGTGACCTTTATCAGTAAGTGCATCTTGCACCAACAAACCAACAGCTGCTGCAAGGGAAACGAAGGATATAACATATGCCAAAAATAGCCAAAGCTTCAACCTGCAATAACAGAAACAGGGAAATATTTGTCAGCAAGACATACCACTCAAGAACTGCCTCCTCCTAGTTTATATGTTGACAAAGTACAGCACTCGATCAGATTTCGTTAGATAATTTAACTATAGTTCACTAAGGCTCAATTCGTTTAAATGGATAACTTGCTTGGTAAGATTATTTTCTCAAGTGTTTCATAAAAGAGAGCATATTTTAGATATGTCAAGTCTATTGTTCAAAGCAACGGTGAAATAGATGGGGGTATTATTAGAAGATTTCAAGTTAGATGGTTGAAGTGGAAGAATGCATCAAGTCATTAAAAAGAGAGCGCATTTCAGATATGTCAAGTCTATTGTTCAAAGTGATGGTGAAATAGATGGGGATATTATTAGAAGAATTCAAGTTAGATAGTTGAAGTGGAGGAATGAATCAGATCTACTTTGTGACAAAAAAGTACCCCTCAAACTTGGGGAAATTTTATAAAATGATTGTGGACCTACAATGCTTTATGGTGCAAAATGTTGGTCATTAAAAGAGAAGCATAAAATTAAGTATTGTAGAGATAAGGATGCTCAGTGGATGAGTGGCTTTACACTTAGATACAAAATGTATAACGAGTTTAAACGTGAAAAAGGTTGGAATAGCTCCAATGGAAGACAGAATTATAGAGAATCATCTTATATGGTTTCGTCATATAAAACGTCGGCCTTTTGATAACCTTGTTAGGCGAGTAGATGTATTAGATTCGGCCTATGTTAAGAAAGGTAAAGGCAGACCTAAAAAGGCTTGGTTAGAAAGTATTAAAAATTACCTTTTTAATAGATTTAAATGAGGATTTGACTCTTACTAGGACACAATGGAGAAAAGGATTCATGTAGCCGACCCCATGTAGTATGATAAAGGCATGTTGTTATTGTTGTATCTAAGAGACATTTCCTACCCACGTTGTGCATGTACAAATCACTTAAATCTATTTTCGATCACTATATCTTCACCATATGTCATTACAACATCTTCTCTAATATACTCATTTTTTAATTTATCATCCTATTGCCGCATTCATTTTAGAATTCTCACTTGAATTCTTTTTCATGATAATCATTGGTACCTCCTCCCTTCATCACCAATAATCTTTATCAACATATGATCTATTTATAAACTCTCTTAAAACCCTATAGCAATTCACTTAATACAACTAATCATCTTAGCCCATGTCAAGTTTGGCTCAACTAAAGAATTTCAATTTACGTCTCATAGTAACCTAAGTTGAAGGACTAATAATTTCTCACCTTTCAAAATTTCATTACCTTATTTTAAGATTATACTTTCTTTTTATTGTTACCTTTATGATATATAACCCCTACCCTATGTTATATTATCAATTTCACCTTGAATCACAATACAATTTTTTCAAGAAGATTTTTACTTTCTTCCAAGTAAGAAGATTCTATTTATGATTTGATAACTCCACAATTATAATCAAGTGATCTTTAGTTCATATCTCTCAATAACCTAAATAAAAAATTAACAATTTCTCACATTTTAAATTCTACCACTTTATCTCAAGGATATAACTTCTTTTTATTATTTATATTAAAATTTTAAGGCATAATTTCGTAACTACATTATACAGCCAAGATTTCAACTAGAATCACAGTACAATCCTCGCAAAAAGATTTTTCTTTCCTTCTAAACAAGAAGAAATTTATTTGTGATTTGAGAACTACAATTTTGCAAGTAAACAATTTTTTTCTCACTTGTGCATGATATTGCAATATCATATGCTACTGCAAAATGAGATAAACTTCTCCGATTGTATTTCTATGTCTTATTCCATTCACCACGAATCATCCCAAAGCTCATCTTATTAAAACTTATATGCTCATTTATATCACCTCCAATAATTATCATTTCTTCAGTAAATATATGTTGAAGTGGTTAAGCTATCTCTCTTCCCAATTTTGATTTTTTAAATGATTTCCCAACTTGATGAAGCATGTTCATTGGCCACTTTCATGATTTCCTTACTGACAAATATATAAATAGTAATCAACCTAGCACCAAGACAATTAAAGATTAAGGAGGTATATTAGTAAATTCATAAGTTTGGGGTCATATACCAATACAAATCATTATATAAAAATAAGGGTGCATAGAAATAGATATGCTATTTTGAGAATGACATATCACGCATAGCATAGAAAACAATATTTTGGAATCAGCAAGGATTCTTCAACATGAATGTATATCATTCAAGAGTTGAAAGCCTCCATTTGAAGTATGCATTTTTAGGAGACGAATCAATCTTATCTATTATTATTTCAGACAACAGTATATGTTTGTCCCTTTTTTTTTCTTGTTCTAGTCTTCCTGATAAAATATTTCTGCTATAGTAAATGAATTTATTGCATCGTCAAAAGAGTTTGGAGCCTAAAACCTAGTTGGATACAACGATCAAGACAATCCTTCAAGTAAATTAAGAAAATGCGTAGGCTTTGTCTCATTTAGGGCTTGTTTGGATGCAACTACAATTTAAGTTAAGTAGGATTTCGTAAATCCTCTAATTCCGGATTTACTAAATTTTGAGAGGGTTAAATCCTGAAAGCCGTTTAGTAAGAAATATGTTAAATCTTGATAAGTTATGTGAGATTGTTTGATAATGCTATTCAAGATTTAAGACAGTTAACTAATATTACATTTCTATTTTAAATACGAGTTACTTATATATTTAATTTTAATTAATATTAATAAATTATAATTATGAATATTATAATTATGGTGCTATTTTAATAAGTATTTTATTTCTACTTATTCTATGAATTCTAGAGATTGGGAGAGTGCGATCCTCCTCTCGAATAGAGGATCCTTGTATCTTTGCTATTTTCCTTTCATCTTCTAGTAAAATACAAGTTCTTACTTCGTGTTTCTATCGTTTTTCTCGTGTTTTCCCACTGTTTTGGCTGATTTCATGCTGTGGACAGCAGTTTGCTGTGAGATCTTTGGCTAAAGTGATTAGGAAATACTTGGAATCAAGTATTTCCTATCAATTTTCCTCTTCTATATTTATTCATTGTTGTTTTGCTTCGCGTGAAGTAGAGTTGTGAAAGAGTTGATGCTTCTCCGCCACTTTCGACAACGTTGTTCCTGTCGGATGGGAGGTCACGTCAGGAGTTCACTGCAAAGGTGACGATATTTGTCCCATTCGCGTGCTTCTTCGATTAGATTAACGAAATATCCCCACAAAATCAAATTTACAAAATTCAGGATTTAGAGCAAAAATGGAGAAAACGCCGTGAAGTAGAGATTGGACTTACTGTGAGATTTAACTTTGTATTTTTTTGTCGTTTGGCATGATTTAGCTCAAATCTGGCCTAATCCTACATACAAACATGCCCTTAGGAAGTCACGTTGTTTTTAATCTCAATGAATTAAAACTAATGATAACATGCAATCACTTATACAAGTTAGCATACAATGTAGGTCATCTTCCATAGCTGCCTAGGCTATCACTAACAAGGCAAAGCCATCACATACTATAGCAATAGAATATGGGCAGAAGAAACCTGATGCAGCCTATTAGAACAACAATAAATAATAAATATTATGTATCTGTGTTACAATTCTTGATAGCCTATAACTAAGCTACACGTGTATTACACCTGGTTCTAGTCTATTTAAACATCTGTCTGTACACAGAACAAGGCAACGAAAATAAGATAGCTACCTGACTTGTCTTTCGTCTTTCTCTTCATCTTGTTCTTGGTGTCTTTCTTCTCTGCATCACTCATACAGGATTTCTACATGGCATCAGTAGCGGGTTGAATCCTTGGACAACCCATCAATGGCGTCGTCGGCTTCCTCTTCGTCGACCACCGCTCTAGCAACAACCACGAGAACAGAGAAATCATCTCTTTATCCCTCCCTCAAGTTCATCATCTCTCACCTCAAAACTCTGGTTCCACATCAACTATCAACGAACAACTATCCGATTTGGCGACATCAAATTCTCAAACACTTCAAAGCAAATGGGTTTGAGACGTTTCTTGAATCATCTACGACCGCCAATCAGCTCCAGCAAAATCAAGAATCCGAAAATCTTGATCCAAATCTGGCAGATCCAAATCGGATTCTCACCGACCAGAACCTCGCGGCCGCAATCTGTTCCACCATTTCCGCTCCCGTTCTACCCTATGTAATGCATCTTGAGACAACCTCGGAAATCTGGCAGGCTCTCCAACTTCGATTTCAATCATCGAACAGGTCCAAAGTAATTCAACTCAAGAATGAGTTGCACAATGTCTCGATGAAAAACATGTCTATGCAAGCCTATCTCACTGAGATCAAGACAATCATTGACAACATCGCGTCTGCAGGCTCAACAGTTGATACGGAGGATATCATCTTACACATCTTGAATGGTCTTCCATTCGCCTACCAATCTTTCAAGACAGCCATCAGAACTATGCAATTTTCACTTAAACTAGACAACATGTATGCTCTTTTGATCAGTGAAGAGATGCACATCCAAGCCGATAATTAGCGGCAGGTTCCTCCTAATGACGTGCAAACCGCTCTATACGCTACTCGCGGACGTGGGCGTCGCTGTCGCGGACATCAGTCTCAACAAATCAGCTCCAACACAAAACCTGCCTCCAAACCTTCAATCTTCTGTCAAATATGCACGAAGAGAGGACACACTGCGGACATCTGCTGGCACCGCCTCAACGCCAGCTACACTCCACCAAGACCTCAAGCTGACAGCAACAATGCACTTCTTGCAACCACCGACGCGACAACCACAGACTGGTACCTGGACTCAGATGCTTCGTCTCATATGACAAATCGGTCTGATAATCTTCGCCAAGGCACGGCATACCCCAGCTCTGATCAGGTTATGGTTGGGGACGGACGATCAGTTCCCATTGCTCATATGGGCACGGTCTCCTTCCCACACCGGATTGTAAGTTATCCCTATCCAAACTGCTTCACATACCGTCCATTTCCCACAACTTAATCTCTATATCGAATCTTGTCGCCGATAATCAAATATCTATAACATTTACTCCTAACGATTTTTCGCTTAAGGATTTGCAGACATACAAAACGATCCTCAGCGGTCCCTGTAGGAACGGTCTCTATCCCATTTCTGTCCAGAATTCACCAACCCAGCAACAGGCGATGTCGGCGATACGAAGCAAACACATCAACTGGCATGAAAGGCTTGGCCATCTTCATCTTCGCATTCTCCAAACGATCTCTCGCAACAACCCTTCTTTACACATACCACACATTTATCCTATTTGTATTTCATGTAAACTGTGCAAAAGTCATAAACTAGAGTTTATACAGTATGTAAATCGGGCCACAAAACCGCTAGCTCTTCTTCACTCTGACGTGTGGGGACCTTCTCCGGTCATCTCACAGCAGGGTTTCAAATACTATTTCATACTTGTGGATGATTTTTCTCGGTTTACCTGGATATTCCCAATGGTTTTTAAATCTGATGGTAGCAATTTGCTCACTAACTTCATTATCTATATTGAGAAACAAACAGATTATAAAATAAAAATAATTGCACGGACGGAGGCGGGGAGTACATCAATCACCATATCAAGCATTTCCTTCAAACCAAAGGAATACAACACCAATTCTCGTGCCCGTACACGCCCGAACAGAATGGCGTAGCCAAACGCAAACATTGGCACATCGTGACCACTGCAAGAACTCTACTTTAGACAGCTGCAATGCCGCCATCACACTAGCCAGAAGTTATCTCTACTGCAGTCTATTTCATCAATCGTCTACCTACACCGACCACGAACAATCTTACACCTCTTAAACTCATGTTTAACATCAATCCAGATTACTCACACTTACGAACCTTCGGATGCGCCTGTTTCCCGCTTCTCCCACCGCACACTACACACAAACTTCATCCCAATTCAACCACCTGCGTCTTCCTGGGCTATTCATACAATCAGAAAGGATACAGATGTCTTAATCAAGACACTAACAACATCATCATCTCACGGCACGTTCAGTTCGTTGAAAATATGTTTCCGTTTAAACAACAGCACACCAACGTTCAACCTCAACTGAATGTGCCGGCTAAGCTTCTACTACCTGTGTCTCAGGTTCAAACCAAGGCGTCATCTCCCAAACCTCCTAACATCACTCCCTCCATGACCAGTCAATCTTCATTGGCTAATAACAACACTACTGATCCTATCATCGATTCGTCACTTCATACCTCCCGCCCTGCTTCACATCCTATGACCACTCGGCTGAAGATCGGGTCCTTAAAGCCTATCTGCCATCTCAACCTGCTTCACCAAGAAGTCCAACTTGATCAAAATCCTGATCCAACTACATACACGGAAGCAAGCAAATCTATAGAATGGAGACGGGCAATGGCAGCAGAGTTCTTTGCCCTTCAACAACAGGGTACGTGGACCCTAGTTCCACCTCCTCAGAACGCATCGATTCTAGGCTGTAAATGGACATTCCGCAAGAAATTCAACTCCGACGGCTCCGTGGCAAGATTCAAAGCTCGCTTGGTGGCTCAATGGAATCACCAAGAATACGGGCTCGACTATACCGAAATCTTTAGTCCGGTTGCGAAACTTCCAACCATTCGCATTCTATTCACTGTCGCTCTTCACCGTGGCTGGCTCATTCAACAATTAGACGTGGCCAATGCTTTTCTCATGGCCATCTCAACGAAACGGTCTTCATGCGACAACCAAAAGGCTTCGAGTACGCAATTCATCCAGATTATGTTTGTCGCCTTCGCAAAGCCATATACGACCTTAAGCAGGCTCCGCGGCAATGGTATACAACATTCACCAATTATCTCCTAAGCATCAGCTTCTGTCATAGCAAAGCCAACCCATCGCTTCTTCTCTTCCAAAGAAATCATACACAAATATTTCTTATGGTCTACGTGGATGACATTCTCATCACAGGAAATGACGAATCCACCATCTCTGCTATACTCGGCAACCTGAACTCCCAATTTCAGATGAAACATCTTGGACAAGCCAGGCAGTTTCTTGGCATTCGCATACAACATAGCAAAGATAAGTATTTCCTCTCTCAATCATCTTATGCGTCATCTCTTCTTCAACAGTCTAAACTTAAAAAATGCAACCCCCTTGCTAACCCCTCATGTACGAAACAGCCGCAACAATTTCAGTCGGATACCAACCTGAACGATCCAGCAACCTACAGGCGTCTCACAGGTGCTCTGCAGTATCTAACCATAATGCGCCCTGATATTGCCTATGCGGTCAACATCCTATCCCAACATATGCACAACCCGGAATTACCTCACATTTATCTACTCAAGCGCCTGCTTCGGTACATCAAAGGAACGCTACGGGCTACCAATCTCCAAATCAGACATGCAACTTTGCACCTTCTCGGACGCAGACTGGGCGGGAGACCCGATCACTTGTAAATCGACCTCTAGCTACTGCACATTTCTTGGCGAAACGCTCGTGTCATGGACAGTCAAGAAGCAGACCACCGTCTCCCGATCCTCAACGGAATCGGAGTACAGGGCACTTGCAGCGGCCACGGTGGACACCATTTGGCTTAAAAGACTACTAGCTGATTTCTGCATTACTCAAGATGAGCCAATTGATGTCTATTGTGACAACATGTCGGCCATTGCACTAGCAAACAATCCAGTATTCCACGCCCGTACAAAGCATATTGAGATCGATCATCGCTTTATTCGGGATCACATTTAGAACAAAATCATTAGATTACTACCTATCAATACAGTAGACCAACTGCCGATATTCTCACGAAACCGCTCCCAACGGCGAGATTCAAGTTGCTTCGCACCAAACTCACGATCATTCAAGATCCGTCAATTTGCGGGGAGATATTAGAACAACAATAAATAATAAATATTATGTATCTGTGTTACAATTCTTGATAGCCTATAACTAAGCTACACGTGTATTACACCTGGTTCTAGTCTATTTAAACATATGTCTGTACACAGAACAAGGCAACGAAAATAAGATAGCTACCTGACTTGTCTTTCGTCTTTCTCTTCATCTTGTTCTTGGTGTCTGTCTTCTCTGCATCACTCATACAGGATTTCTACATGGCATCAGTAGCGGGTTGAATACTTGAAGTTTTGATGTTATTTTGAAAATCCTGCTAATCTATAAATGTGATTTCTTGTTGTTACGTAATCATTCGTCTTCTAATTCTTGAACTTCACTTGATTAAGCATAGAGTTTTGGTAGCAAGTTATGATTCAATATTTCTATTAATTTTTAAGTGCAATTCTCATTTCATTGCATGATTGATTCACATCACACAAGCTCGGATGATCCATTCTCTAGGTTCTCTTTTTGGGAGCTTCAAGATACAATAACATGAAGTTTCAAAGACATGGATATATGTCGAATTATTAGAGTTTATGTAAGAGATGCAGGGTACAGGATTCCCCATAAACATATTTCCCCATGATTAAAAACATCATAGAATCAATGCCTAAGAACAATCTAGATTGAGAATATCGAATACAAATTAATGATTGGAAGTTAGGCCTACAAGTGGGGGCAATCAGCAATGGATGGTCAACCAAATGAAAATCCTATGTTCTCATCATCGAGCCAACCTTATGGACTTGGTCAACCAATGACTAAATGCTGGAGGCAAAAATCTTCCAGAGAACTGATTAGCAACCATGGGTTATCTTACCCATATATCTCAAGTAGACCAAGGTGACAATATGTTGACCAATATAAGCTCTCCGATGAAGAAACTCCTGAGACCATATTGGTATGATTCATGATGGTTTAGAAGTTCAAGAACAAAATATTCCAGAATTAACCAATAGTTGGGTCTTCTATACACAGACTTTGAAATAAATGATTCATAAACCTTCAGCTAAGGCAATTTATAAGCATTGTAAACAAATGCCCTTGCAATCTTCAACTCTTCTTAACAAAACATGGAATGATTTGTATGAGCGTATACCTAAGCTTTTACAACAACAACATCAAGCCTTTGTCCCACTACGTGGGTCAGCTACATGAATCATTTTTCTCCATTGTGTCAAGCTAAAAGTCAAATTCTCATTTAAATCTAATAAAGAAAGATCATTTCTAATATTTTCTAACGAAGTCTTTTTAGGTGTACCTCTACCTTTCTTAACATAAGTCAAATATAATACCTCTACTTTCCTAACGGGGTCATTGGAAGGCCGCCGTCTTATGTGACCAAATCATCCAAGGCTACTCTCTCTAATCTTATTTTCCACTAGAGCTACTCCAACCTTTTCACGTATATGCTCATTTCGTATCCTATCTCTAAGGGTAAAGCCACTCATCCAGCTGAGCATCCTCATCTATACAACACTTAACTTAGTATTATGCTTCTCTTTTAATGGCCAACATTCAGCACCATAAAGCATTGCAGGTCTCACCACCATCTCAATGAATGTTACTATGGAAGCCATGAGTCTTACATGTTAACTTTTGGAAATAATGTTAACTTTCTTATAACATATGCATACAACATACATTTTTTTCTTATATAAAATTTATGCTAGCACCTTAGTTCATTAGTTTCGAACTGTGGCGAAACCTAAATTCAAAACTGTTTGTGTGTGTTAAAACCAATTCCTTCGTCAAGCTCGCTTTTCTTCCTCAAATTGCCTAGGTTTACGTAATTTTTTTGTTAGATTATTATCCATGAAAATAGCAGCCAACAGAAACAGGAGGGATCCATTGTTGTCACATGAATCCCCAGCTACTGTCTTTCGACCAGAAGAAACAGAAGGGGCAACAAAAATGTAAGGAACGGGGCAAAATACGAAACAAAGACAAATCCATGTAGCGCCGAGCGAAGGAAAATCCGAAAGAAACTGACCTCCAGTCCGACTCCCCGTAGGGAGAGTAATAATCGTACGCAATCTCCTCTTTCCGGACACAGTTGAACATGAGAGCGGCCAGCGAAGCAAAGATCCCTGGGAATTGGAGCCCATCAGGAGCAAACCTAACCATAATAATCTCCAGGAGAGAAATGGAAGAGCGAACAAAAGAAAGAGATGGGGATTTGATTCAGGGTACCGCCGTACCGGGGAGATAATGGAGGAAGGAGATCTTAACGTCACTGCAGATGACGGCATCGACCCAGAACCACCAACCGGCGGAGAACACTGCTCCAGCGGCTCCGGGACCAAAGATTTCCCATAGCATCGAACAGTTATTGTCCATCGCCTTCCTCCTCTACCTCGCGCGGAGACGAACGGCGAGGGCTACTCTATTTGGCGAATGTGAAGATTAATCCAAATATATAACGGAATAAAATGTATTGCTTTATTAATAAATATCAGATGTTTTACGATGATGTGTAATAAAATTAACGGTAACCTGTGTCGTCTATGGTTTAAATGAAATAAAAAATATATATTATAATGATAAAAATTTTACCTTTTTATAAATGAACTTATTTGAGAATTTTTTTTAATTAAGCATATATATAATTCCAATACTATCAATTATGTCATAATTAAAATGGTAATATGATTCATATGACTGAATTTTGTGAGATATTTTATTGCAAGTATTTAGAATTTAGAATTATTTTAAATGCAAAGTAAAATAAACTCAATAGTTTTTTTTTTTTTAATTGGCTATAAAATAAATTTTTAATGTTATTTTCTGTTTGGATTGTTGTAAATAAATCATTTTTTTTTTGTGGTGCATGATGGGGTTACGTTAGTTAGTTGACATATAGCGTAAAACTTATTGAATGATCATTACATGGTTTTTTTTTTGCTTGATGTTGATGTTGATGTTGTTGTTGTTGTTGCTGCTGCTGTTGCATGGTGCATGGTGGGGTTGTGGGATTACCAATTGCGAAATCAAAAGCAATCATAGAAATATACCAATGATGACTTATTATTCACACATGTGAAAGCCAATAGGGTTACTGTTTTGATTGAAAAATATTTAATAGTTTTGAAAAATAAGGGTCTGGATCTATCTGGAAGAGACCTAAGATCTAGAATAGATCCTAAGGCCTAGATCTAAAAGAATCCTAGGGATCAGATTGATCATAAGATCTAAGGTCTGGATTAATGTAGGGTCAGGATTGGTCCAGGTGACCTCATACAAAAATGATGTCAACAGTTACATAATGTCACAACCTAAATTGAAAAAAAAGAGTATTTTTTAATCTCTTATTTAATTTATCTAAGCTTCTATAAATTATCAATGTAGATCAGTTCAACAGAAACAAATATAAAAATCTTATACATCCAAATCTTTCACTATATTCATTCCTTGAAATCTAATTTATCATAGTTATGATATCACTTATAACATTGATCTATTTCGACAAGTTCGTAACTATAAAATAATAAAGTAAAATAAGGAAATCAAAAGAATAACTTGAAAATCCTAACATCCTCACTCCATGGGTCTTGACATCTTCATTGACCTATAATCAATAAAATCTACATAATAAGCTTACAAAGCCCAACAAAATCAAAAATAACTAATGTTTTTAGTGCGTGGACTTAAAAATCAATGTGCATGATCATCTCAATCATTATAAAATCAACACTCATTAGTATATACGATAAACACTTCATAAAATCACTATAACAATCAACATGATCAATAGACCGAAAGTATCACATTAAGCATATGAATATGTCAACATATAGAAAAACCAATATATATATATATATATATAACAATGTCGGGTGACATAATAAAACATATGTCAATTATCTATTAATTATACTCATGCCAATAATTCTATCGATTTTATCAATTATTATGTCATGTATCAATGTGTCATGTAAATGTGTTGTATCAATATGTCTAACATCATCAATCAGTGTCCTTTTCATATGTTATTTCATGTTATGTCAATCTTAATAATGTTTATATTAGTTCTATAACAATTTTATATATCAATCAATTCATACATTCCTATATAAATACATGTAAATATGAATATAATTATGAATAGCAAGGTAGAACATCTAGTTAATTACATGATATTTTTTTGTATCTTATATTAGTATGAAGTGGCAGGTGTTAAGTTGCTATATTGTAAGAGTCATCACTCATGCATGTCTAAATATCATGTTCCCTTATGACTTTGTATCTTGTATCTTATATTGGGATTATATCACAAGCCATAATTTAAAAGAAAGTCCTCGGCCCACCCTCTTGTACAAATATGTTCCTTCAACCAACTTAAATTATTTTACAACGAGCCAGCCTTTCTTGCAATGTCATATTTGTATTATATCAGTTATATCATTTTCTATGCAAATTCAATATCGTGTATGAAATGCAAACCAATAAATGAAATACAAGAAAAATATATACATTATGCAATTACTTTAGAAAATAATAACTATCAATATATAATGTAAAATTTAATAATATTACAGTCATAATGCTCATAAGAATCATATATATAATATAGGAAAAATTACATGAAGAAACTGCGTTCATTCAGGAGAAAATATATTTGTATCGATTAGGGAAAATTAAATTCACCAAACTCAAAGCAACTAAAAACAAATGTAGTATTTGGGTTATCTACTATGAGTAGAAGAAATATCATAATGGAATTGATGGATGAAAATGAACCGAACGGCCTCTTTTCTTCCTTTCCTTATCCGACAAATCAAGCAAATAGGGATGAGGAGAAATGATTGAGTGGAGAAATTTATATTAATTTTTTTTTTTCAATACCCAGTACTGCAGTGCTCCCAATCTGGCATCATAGAGCTGCATGCCTATCCTAGAGATACCATAGAACAGAGAGTTCAATGCTATGGCAAAGCTTTTTCGGTGTCGTTGCATTCTCAAACTAGGGGTGTAAGTGAGCTTTACTTATCTGTTTGTGTGCTGGATCTTCGTACAATGCTAAGACGTTAAACTAAATATTTCTCTACCGTCGCGAATACTCCAGGACGCAACATATTTAAACTTAAAAAATGTTTTCTCGTGAATTTAAGAATTGTAATTCTTCTTGAACTGTTGGTTGAGAGCTTTGATTACCAACTAAGAGATTTTGAGTTCGAGTATTGTGTATGTGTTGTGTGTGAGTTTGCCTTGATTGATCTAAATGTCCCCCACCCCCATAAATATAAGTCAACTTCAATGCTTCGTTCATTATATTTAAACTTAAAAAATGTATGCTCATTAAAATTTTAACTTGAATTTTTTTAATAAAAAGTAAACAAATTTATGTCATCCTAATATTGAAAGAAATATATGATCACAGAGTCAATTACGTGGCAATGCAAAGGTACCATCAAGTAATATTATTGCACTCATCTTAATGCATCTTGAAATTACAAATCATACATGAATTTCAAAGTGGAGAGATCAAAAGCTATTATAGACGAACTTTTATTACGTTCGGTGCAAGGACGTAGAGGAACGTCCGATCGGAGGCAATTTCCCGTCCAAAAATTAGGTATTTGCTCGGTACAACTAGGTATTATTTGATAATAATGAAGAATACCGTCCTCTAAAGACCAATAACGAGTTATACCGAGCTGTACCGAGAAATACCGAGTTGTACCGAGTTTTTCTGGGAAAAACTCGGTACAACTTTGGTATAACTCGGTATTGGGTCTTCAAATGATGGTATTCTTCTTTATTGTTTGATATTGCTCGGTACAACTCGTTTTTTGGCGGGAATTTGCCTCCGACCGGACATTCATCTACGTCCGGTCAGAGGACGTAATAATTGTTCATTATAGACATGGAAGTCATATAGCTGACGATATATAATTGTATCGTTGTGATTTCAATCATTGCATTGATAAGATTGGCATTTTCAATTTTTCATCAATGCCTCATCAAAATGATTAAATTTATTCAATTATAAATTGAAAATGTTCAACATATTAATTTAGTTTGGTCTTTTTATTTTTTTTTTAATTTGAAATTATTGTTAAATCATAAGATTAAAGAACTACTATATAAAAAATTAAGATTTTTTAGAGGTCTTTTTTAGCGCTTCTTAAAATAATATTTTACCAAAAAAATTAAAATTTTTTAATTAAAAAAATAGCATTAAGAAGATTTGTAGGGGGAATTAAATAACCCTAAATTAGTATTATATTCAACTTTCTTTTTGCGAACCAAAGGCTTTAGTGCCCTAGGAACCTGCAAGGCCAAACCGAGTTATTTACCTCATAAGCATCCACAAGTTCTCTGCTTTCCCTTCAACTTCCCATGGATCGCCCATCTGCCGGGCTGCGACGGCGCACCACGGCGGATGCGGGTGACTTGAGAGATTCCGTAGCTGCACCGCCGCCTCAAGAGCTGCGTCACCCGAGGAAACGCAAAGGGTTCGCAGTTTCCAAGATGAAGAAACCGTCGAAGGTCTCCTCTTCGTCTACATCGATGGCTTCATCCACTACAGAACATCATCAGGGAAGACAAAACAGGAACCTTAATTGTATGCTCGAAGACGATTTCCTGGACCTTGCTCTTTCGCTGGGCATGTCCTTTGCTGCTGTTATTTCCCAGGTTTGTCTCTCATCTAGGGTTTTGTTACATCTTCCTTATTTGAAGACTGATAAAGACTCGTTTTTGATTAAATGCAATGGTTTGGTAGTTGAAAATGAGGTAAACAATGGAAACTTCTTCGTTTATTCTACGACAACTTGACTTGGATGTACAGTCAGATGATGGACTAAAATTTCGTTGTTTGATCTATTTGTAGAACATATCTTAGTACAGTCTTGGATTATTGACGTTTCATTAGGGGTCTGGCATTCCAATTACGGCCATTAAAGTCTCCTCTAAAAAAACAGTCCTTTGGTATATCCATCCACCCATTGCACCCGGCTTCCTTTAATCTGTCCGCACATACAAAATTAGGTGAAAATAGGGCTTTTTCTACTGTTATGTGACTAGTTGATGTATAATCAAATGATACTTAGATTTGTTGCCCGGACCTTGTCTCCCATATGTGGAACGAGTCTTAGTTTAAAATCGGAATATTGGATACTGAAGTTCCGTATTGGCCGGCCTTCGAATTAAACTATTTAGGGTATTAATATACTGTGCTATCAGAAGTAGCTGTCACTATGTGACTATGCCATCAGATGATGAACTGAGATTTCTTAACTCACCCTAAGGAATGATACTTAGATTTGTTGCCCGGACCTTGTCTCCCATATGTGGAACGAGTCTTAGTTTAAAATCGGAATATTGGATACTGAAGTTCCGTATTGGCCGGCCTTCGAATTAAACTATTTAGGGTATTAATATACTGTTCTATCAGAAGTAGCTGTGACTATGTCATCAGATGATGAACTGAGATTTCTTAACTCACCCTAATCCCTAAACCCCAACCTATGTATAACTGGTTTTAATTTACTCAGAAAAATCTTTGATTATTGACATTCCTGTTTGTGCCTTGCCTTTCAATTGAACCATAACTCAGTGTTTAGGGTACTGTGAAAAATTGATGTGAAATTGCAATTAGACGATGAACTAAGACTTCTTCATATGAACTCTTTATACTTACACTCACAGTGAAATCAAGTGAACTTTTCTATACCATTCCATGAAAACTAGCGGTTAATTTGCAATTAGATGACGCACTTAGGCTTCGTTACTTACTTTCGCTAGACCTTGTATCCAATGTTTAGAATGGGAATAAATTTAGGCAATGAAATATTGGATCTTCACGTTCCTGTAGGGGCATTCCTTTCCAATTAGACTATAATTCAGTGCTCACTCGGTGAAGGTCTACATATCTTTGTTCCTGCTTCTGCATTTAAGAAGATCTCCACGTAGCATTTCAGAAATAGTGCACTAGGGCTTGATACCCTTTTACAATGCTAAATAGAGCAGTTTCCTGCGGCGCCACGTTGACGGCCCATGACACCACCAGCAAGAGTGGTAATCATGCAATATGTTATTTGGACCATTTACTTGAGCAAAAGAAAGATCATTTAAATTGTTATTAGTTAGAAGTTAGCGAAGTCAAATATTGTATATATATTGTCTCCTTTTAATTTTTTTATTTTATATTTGCTCTGGTTGTTGATTGTTCCTTCGTGTAATGCACAATTAAGATTGGTGATTGAAACAAAAGGTGAACAAATGGTTATTGTTTGTCCAGATATTTATCCTCATTGAATTCAGTAAAGAGTAAAATCTCAAATCCTTTCCATGTAAGTTAAGAGTTACTTTTTCTCATGAGAAATGATTTCATTAAATATTAATACATTTATTCATATTCACACAATATTTTCTTGTTCTAAATAGCACTGTATATTGTTTATAATATATCAAGTTTGGGCCATGACTTAACCTTCATTAAAAAGGTTGGGTTCATTTCAGTCTAACATTTTCTTGATTTGCAGTCATCAAAATTGCAGTAATCTGCATTATGACTCCCCTTTCTCTGATCCAATACCTTGACACGATTGGATTGACTTCTTTCCTTTATAGTATGTGTAGCAAATTTCTAGCGGGCTAGAGACTAGATAACGGTGGCTATGCTTCCGAAGGTTGAAGTTCTCAATGTCCAATTATAAATTATAAAAGAGCATTGACCTGCTAGTGTAGTTATTATACCCCAAAGAACGACAAGTTTGAGAAAATCTTGACCACTATGAGGAATTTAGAATCACTCATGGTAGGGGTGGTATTCACTTATTCAGGTAGTGGAGGAGAGTTTACAATAGTGGTGAAAGAAGAGTTTGAATCCTTGCTTCCACAGGTCTGCAATTTTATGTAAGATGAGGTGCCAAAATTCAATTATCACTTGTTTATATAATTTGTTTGTCGGATGACTCGTTAATCTTCAACATGTACTACCTAAATTTACTTGTGTATTGTAAGTTTATTTCTTTTTACCACATTCTCTTTTTCACATTCACTAGGGAAAACCCATTAGCTTGCTCTGCTTCAAGGATATATGATGAGGGTGGGGTGGTGAGGCTTAGATCATTGATATGATCAATTGGTGGATGTGGGAACTCTTCTAAGATAATTGGAAAAGTTATGGTTAATTTGGAAGAGTTAAATTGAAGGTGAATATAAGGCTTAAGGGGTTTATGTAGTAAGCCATAATTCTTGCAATCTGCCCAAAATATATTATCAATCTTCTTCCCAATGATTTTTCCTCTACAACACTCCAAATCAAGGAAACTTGTACTTGCTTTGTAGGAGAGGATGTCTCCTTTAATTTTGGAGAGTTTGGTAAGGGTTGGAAAATGTTTGGTGAGTTAATTGTACTCTGAAAGTAGTTGATGTCAGTTATGTCCTGAACTGACCAAGGTTGTGGATTTTGTTTTGGATTTCTATAGATCCGGTGGAATTCAGAAATTTCACTTGGAATAACTTGAGGACATCCTCTAGAATTGATCTGGAAGCTATTAGATTTTTTTTTGTGGGGTTTTGATATATTTTTTGTTTTGCTTTGTTTTGTTGACTGGAAACTTGTTACGTTACTGAAATAGCAAACAAGAAATTGGGGTGGAGTAGATCTCCTGAAAATTGACTTGAATAATCCTAAATAAATTTAAGGTTATTGAAACATAGGATGTGTATTAAAGATCTAGAGTTTGAGTGGGATTTTATGTAGTCTAGATTGGTCAAATGCTTCTAAGAGTTTAATTGGTCTAGCAATTCCAGAAAACTTGGTCAACCCTAATTATGGGGAATTTACTTGGATTAAGGGGATGGAATGGGATTTAAGATTTTTCTAAGATGGATTACCTGAATTAGATGGACTATAGTGACCTTAGCACCCTAAATGAAAATAAAGATTT